CAGATCCCCGATGGCCAAGGGCTGCAAGGAAGCAGCTTTGACCTTCGACCCCAGGAGCCTTCTCAGCGGTGGTCGAGCGGAGGGGCGGGCAAACCGCTCACAGAGAGAACTGATCTGGCAGGATGGCCGGGCGGCAGACAGGACTCCCAGTGGGGGCCATTTGTCAAGTGAGCAGCGCAAGGGCTCCCCGGCCCTGGCCTCCTCTCCAGGTAGCTGAGCCAGAGCACAGGTGCCCAGACAAACAGGCGTCTCCCTGAGCGCTGCAGCCCCACAGGTGGAGCGGGGCCTGCACGCGGGCTGCCCGGCCAGGCCCATGCCAGAGGACCTGTGTCTCCCAGAAGGACCACGCAAAACCCCAACCCCTTTATTCCTTGGGTGCTCGGCGCCCCAGCTAATTGACAAGGATGCGTCCTGGAACGCTCTGCTAAGATTTTCCATGACGTCAGCAGCCTGTCACACCTGGGGTTCGCTCAGCAGGGAGGCTGTGCTCCAGCGGGGAGCTGCGTGATGTCTGGGCCCCACGGGCTCTTGGCAAACAGGTGGGAAGAGATGGCGAGATTGCCAGGAGCCCAGCCCACGCCATGCGCGCTTTCCTTTTGGGGCTCCTTGTCTGGAGAGCACAGGCCTGAGGATGTCCCCAGGCCAGACCCAGATTCGTCGGTGGCAAGGCCGACATCTGGAGGGGGAAACCGGGTTGTCCTTCGTCACTCCTGGGGTGGCTCCCCCAGGCCCCGGGGCCTCAGGTTTCCACAGCTCCCCCCTTTCTCCCGAGCTGAGCCTGCCCCGTGGTGCAGGCCCCATAGCATCTGTAAGGCCTCCCCAGGACCACAGCACAGGGAGGAGTTACAGGCAGGTGGCTGGGGCCGGCGCTGTGGGTAGCGGGCTAAGCCCCTCCTGCAAAGCCAGCAGCCAGGATGGGCGATGGTTTGTATCCTGGCCGCTCCACTTCCAATCCAGTTCCCCACCGATGAAAGCAGCAGAAGATGGCCCACGTGCTTGGGCCCCTGCACCTGAGTGGGAGACCAGGTGAGCCCACCTCCTGGGCTCTGGATTTGTATCCACTCTGCCCCCAGGACCCCTGGCCCCCTCCCTCCTCTCTCTGCCCCCCCTCCCCACCATGTCTCTCTTGCTGCACATCCTGCGGCTGCGCCTGGCTGTGTGTGGGGTGGGGGGGTAATTACTGAGTTAGCCCAGCGGGCTGCAGAAGGCTGGGCTGGGCCGGGCACCGGGAGAGGAAGGCTCTATTAAGCGCAGATGTTTCTCAATCACGTCACTACTGGAGTGGCCCCGCGAGCACAGGCAGGCAGCGAGATGCACTTTGTCTGCAGCGCTTGTCGCACGTTCAGAGCGGCCCGTGCGGAACACAACCCGCGACGCTCCTGTCCCGTTCTCGGCACACGTGTGCCTGCACCGCATCTCGCCTGAGGTCACCTCCTTCCCGTCCCACACTCACGCGTAGCACCCTCTGCACACGCACCCTCCGTCCATTCTGTCTACCCTTTCACTGTCTCATACACACTCACATACGGTCACACAGTCACTCTCACATTCACACTCACACACACAGTGTCACACACTCTCACACACTCACACAGTGTCACACACTCTCATACACACTCTCACACTCACATATGGTCACACACACTCTCACACAGCCTCACACACAGTGTTGCATACTTACACACTCACATACGGTCACACACACTCACACTCTCACACTCTCGCACTCAATATTCTCACACTTGCACTCACACACTCACACACACTCTCTCACTCACACACACACACACTCTCACACACACACTGGAAGGGCCGGCCTCAGTGGCTGCTGGGTGGCTCACACTCACACTCACACTCACTCACACACACCCACACACACTCTCACACTCACACTCTCACACTCACACATACACTCACAGACACCCTCACTCACACATACTCACACTCTCATACACACACTCACACTCACTCTCACACACACTCACATACTCTCACACTCACACACACACTCACATACTCTCACACTCACACTCACACGTACACTCACAGACACCCTCACTCACACACACTCTCACACTCTCACACTCACACGTACACTCACAGACACCCTCACTCACACATACTCTCACACTCACTCTCACACACACACTAGAAGGGCCGGCCCCAGTGGCTGCTGGGTGGCTCACACACACAGCTGTGCAGGGCTCCACATTTTCGCCCTTGGGAAGGTCCCCAGAGGCCTTGGGTCTTCCTGCCCCGGAGGCTGCATGGCACCTGTGGCTCCTCAGGGGACACAGAGACCAGGAATCCCTGGGGGTGGGGGGCATGCGCTAAGCCACCCCCACCCCCACCTGGGGAGCCAGCGAGGACTCTGGGCTCCAGCACTGGCCCCTTCCTTCCCCCACACCCCCAGGAAAGCAGCAGTGGTGGCCCTGCCACCCACATGGGAGACCTGGATTGTCGTCTCTCTCCCCCCGATACGTATTGCTTACAATGGGGGGCACAGCTGCACCCCTGCTTTGGTCAGACTCCTCCCTTCTCCCTGGAAACGTCAGCCTCTTTCCTGAGTGGGCGCAGTCTCTCAGGTTCGGGGCAGTGGGCAGGAGGCGGATCAGGACCACCGGCAGCCGCCACCGCCTCCAGCCGCCCACACCCCATGCCTGGGCCCCGAGCACAGCTAAGCTTTCCCTCGGAAACTCGCTACCTCCCCCACTGTCCCTGGAGCCAAGCCAGGGAGGGAGGGAAACTGGGTGCAGCTCCCTGGCCAGGGTGGGGTTGGAGGGATCCCTGCTGACTTATTCCAGTGCGCCAGGCCAAAGCCCAGAGACAGGAACTCCATTTGGGCCTCCTGTGTGGGTGGCAGGGACCCAGCCACTGGCGCCATCACCCGCCTCCTCCCAGAGTGTGCATCAGCAGGAAGCTGGACGGGAGGCAGAACCCAGACTCAAGCCCAGGGACGCAGATGCGAGACGCAGGCAACTCAACCACTCACCAAATACCCGCCTGTCCGTTCTAGGCTCATTTTTAAAAAGGTTTGTTTGTTTGTTTGAAAGGCAGAGTTACAGAGAGGCAGAGGCAGAGAGAGAGGGGGAGGGAGAGAGAGAGAGAGGTCTTCCATCCGCTGGTTCACTCCCCAAATAGCCCCAACGGCCAGAGCTGTGCTGATCCAAAGCCAGGAGTCAGGTCTCTCATGTGGGTGCAGGGGTCCAAGGACTCGGGCCATCTTCCACTGCTTTCCCAGGCCACAGCAGAGAGCTAGATGGGAAGTGGAGCAGCCGGGACTCGAACCGGCGCCTATATGGGATGCCGGCACCGCAGGCTGGGGCTTTGATCGGCTGCACCACAGCGCCAGCCCCTGTTCTATTCTCTAACAGAATATTTTCAGCTGTCACCTGCCAGCGGGTCCCCGGCAGCGTCCTGCAGTTTCTCGGTGGCATCGGCCATCTCTCGCCAGCTCCAGGCAGCTGTGCTGTCTGCAGAGCCCAAGAGAATCCCCTGTCCAGCACGTGGCCTTCCGGCCTCGTCTCCTCTCACCTTCTTTGTGGCACCACGAGGCTTCCTCTGTCCAGCCCCTTTCTCGCAGCTCCCTTCCAGTTCTCCAGGCTGTCACACGTGCCGGCCTTGCTCACGAGCGTGACTTGGATCTGCAGCGCCTTGAGAGTGGGGCAGGAAATCCAGGCTTCGGCACGAAGCGCCCGGGTGCAGCTCAGCAGCCCACACTGGCGGTCAGCTCTGGTCGTGGCCAGCAGGGAGAGAACTCTCCATTCACGGGAGGCGTGGGCAGGAAAGAGAGCAGCCGGGCGTTTATTGAACATTTACTACAGGCCGGCACTCTCCTTGGAGTGTGAACAGACGTTATCTCCAACACTGCACTCAGGAGCTGTGTGAGTCCGGATCTCACGACCACCGTTCTGCCAGGAGACTCAGGGAAGGGGAGCTTTTACCCACGGCTCCTGGGCTAACCAGGGACGTGACAGCACCATGGAAAACCACACCTTGACGTGACGGTGGCAGACTCAAGTTCTTCTAGGGCATTGTGGTGCAGCAGCTCAGGCCCACACACACATCGGAGCACCAGTCGCAGACCCAGCTGCTCTGCTTCCGGTCCAGCTCCCTGCTAATGCCCCTGGGGAGGCACCAGATGATGACGCAAGTGCTTGGGCCCCTGCCGCCTGCGCAGCAGACCCAGATGGAGCTCTGGACTCCTGGCTTTGGCCTGACTCAGCCCTGGCTGCTCGCCAACATCTGGGAGTGAAGTTGGTGGTCTCTCTCTCTCTTTCTCTCTCTTTCTCTCTCTTTCTTTCTCTCTCTCTCTCTCTTTCTCTCTTTCTCTCTCTCTCTCTCTCTCTCTGCCTTTCAAATAAATAAGTAAACAAGTCGAGTTTTCCTTGCTGGGAGGTAGCTTTCCTGGGTGGAGGTGGTCAGGCCCGTGGGGACTGTTTTGCTAAATGAACGTGAACCAGTCTTTCTTAAAGGCTCCCAGGCACCCCTCCCAGCTGTAAAATTCCAAGCTAGAGCCCGCTGTTCTGCGCATATTGCAGAACCAAAAACAGAGGGACGAAATGAGAGGAAAGAGCGAGCCAGGGAGCAGCAAGACAGAGGAACAGCGAGACAAGAGCAGAGACGAGACATCCGGCCTCGCGACACGTCTTCTCTGCTTGCAAATGCACATTTTCAATGTCCCTGAGATTGAAGTGCATCTCACAACTGATGTGCAATGAAACCCGTCAGGGAATGGTGCATCCTCCACGCGAGGTGAACGGGAGAGAGACAAGCAGATGCAGCGGAAAGCCGTCCCTCCCACTCACAAGGTCATCCCTGCCCCTCCCCGGGGCCGTCTGAACTCCTGGAGCGGAGAGGGGCCCTGCTGACGGCCACCACACTTTCACCCACACTGACTCCTCAGGAAGGAAATGTTCGAGCCACAGTGCTGATCGTATTTGTATGATCTGATGTATCTGTTTTCAAATCAAATCAACGTTCCCAGCCCCCCCCCCAAATTTGCAGCCGCAATTAACCTAAGAAGCCACCTTCCCCTGCTCTGCACGTGGGGGAACCAGTTCAGAGAGCGCCGGATAAACAGGGGCTTGGCAGTTCTGAGCCTCTGAGGGAAGGCAGCGGGGAACAACGGGGTTGTCTGGACCCGCGATCCGGTAATTAGAGAGAAGATGCCCGCAGGTACCTGCTGAGAAAGGTCCCTTAATTTGACCCCGTTTCACACAGCCCAGTTTTCAATCAGATGAGCCCCTTCAGCTCTGTCCCTCAGGAAATGGCCTCCGAGTCCGTAATCCTGAGACTTTTCCAGGCTCGCTCCGTCTGGAGGCGTCCGCTCTGATGTGCCTGCATCAAACCGCCGGCCCCGCCGTGCTTACCCAGGGACTCCCCGGCCGGGCCTCCGTCCCCTGTGGCAATACCAAGGCAGCCTTTATTCCTCCTCCGCTGGCAGCGCCCCATCATCATGTTTGATGATGCGCTTGAACTCCCTGCCCCTCCCGACTGTCAGTGGCTTTCCAAAGCAGCATTTGATGGTTTATTCATTATTGACTTATTTATTGCGTGCACGGCGCTTCTACTACAGAGGCAGAGACAGATGCCGGCTCCTCACCCGCCAGCCCTCCTCCCCTGCCCAGCTCCGCCGCACCTGCTGGCGGATCCCAAGCAGCCCACGTCTTCCCTCCCTAGCAGAGAAGGTTCTGGGTTTGGTTTTCCTTCCCAGATGCCCCCCCAACCGGTGTCTGATCCCCCCAGGCTGAGTTTGCCTGCCGTAGACCAGGACATCTCGCCGCCCGGCCCAGAAAGCCTCCGTTCAGCCTGCAGCGCTCACCGCCGCAGAGTCTGGGTGTTGAGCCCAGGTGCGGGTGCTCAGACAGACGCGGCCCGGGACAGGACAGCGCCCAGACGAGCCGGCAGCTGGAGTCCTGCGTGAAGAGGAACATGCCCTCTCCCTTCTCTCCCCTCCTCAAACCCAGACACCCAGATATGGGACGCGGGCATCCTCACGGCTATGCCCTACACCTACCCGCTTTGCCTGCCTTCACAAGTAACCTCACTGAGGCAGGAAGAGAACCCACAGGCATCCCAAAGTAGCCAAAATGTCCCCTCCTGAGCTTTGGGCGAGACAGAGAACCGGTCTGGGGGGAGTTTGTCTCACACTTACCAGCCTGCTCTTAGTCAATGTGTTTTTATTAATAAGATTGAATTCCTTCTTAATAAATGTTGTCCAATAAGAAAAAAAAAAAAAACTGACCTCACAGTGCAGAGCCCGTGGAGTAAAAGACAGGAAAAGGCCTCTTTGGTAGTTAGTTTGGAAACTCTGTCTGCCCAGTCTCTTATCCTACGGAGCAGGACACAGAAGGGCCACGTGTCTGTTCCTGGAGGCCCCAACCCACAGTTTCAGGAGGTAGAGATCAGATGGAAGGGCCCCCTCCCCTCTCCCTCAGCCCGGGACCTCAGAGTCCTGGGGATCCCTGCCCTTGACCAGAGCTGGCTCCAGAGCAGGCACCCGCAGCTCGGCCCTGCCATCTCACACACCCCCAGCGCCCTGCATGGTCACCGCCCTGTGGGGTCTTCCTAACTGCCCATGCCCCTGCCCCACGACCCCCTGGCCAGCCCAGCTCGTCCCATCCCTGACCATAAAGCGTGCCTGGCCCCATGCTTGGGACTCAGCCCTGCTCTGCCTCCAGGGCACAGGTTCCTGTGCGCCTCTCCTGGCTCTGGGCCCCTCCATCCCCACGTGGTCGCCCCCCACTCCTCCAGCCTCTTCACAGCCACAGTTCTCCAGTGGCTGTCCTCGAGTGATCTCTGCACTCCTGCGGTTAACCCAGCGCTTCCAAGGGGTCACTCTCCGCAGACCAGGGCCCCTTAGACCCACGCCTGCACCCATGGCTGGAAGGGCTTTCTAGGGCCTGGGTTCCCCAGCTAGTGCTGTCTTAAGCCAGAATGAAGAATATACGCAAATACCATTTCAGCTACCATCTCCGAGACAGCACTGCACCGACCGCACATTTAACATCTGCTTTCAAAGTTGACACTTCACCAAGCAAAAGCCAGAAGCGGCCTATCAGACATGCTACAAAAGCAATGCTTGGTCATGTGGCACAAAAGAAATTATACAAGAAGAAAATAGCTGCAGGCCGGTGCTGCGGCTCACTAGGCTAATCCTCCACCTTGCGGCGCCGGCACACCGGGTTCTAGTCCCGGTCGGGGCGCCGGATTCTGTCCCGGTTGCCCTTCTTCCAGGCCAGCTCTCTGCTGTGGCCCGGGAGTACAGTGGAGGATGGCCCAAGTGCTTGGGCCCTGCACCCCATGGGAGACCAGGAGAAGCACCTGGCTCCTGCCATCGGATCAGCACGGTGCACAGGCCACAGCGGCCATTGGAGAGTGAACCAATGGCAAAGGAAGACCTTTCTCTCTGTCTCTCTCTCTCACTGTCCACTCTGCCTGTCAAAAAAAAAAAAAAAATAGTTGCCAACAATTTCACACACACACACCCCCAAGACAGCAGTTGGTGGCATTGTGGGTGTTCCCCTCCCGTCTTTTGCTACATGGAAACCCTTGTGTGCTGCTGTGGTCATGTCCTCTAATGTCTGACGTCATCCACTTCTTCAGTGAACGCTCACTTTCCTCTCTGCACCTCTGCTCTTGTAAACACCTGACAGCTGCCTGGTGAAACACTGCGGTGATAGGCACTGATCTCCGTGCTCATTTAACAGTGGGCCGCCTTGAATGTGGACCGTGACCAAAACACAAGTTCAAATGGAGTTAAGATGTAGTTCTTCCTTTCTTCTGTTTTCCTTTCTTTCTTTCTTTCTTTCTTTCTTTCTTTCTTTCTTTCTTTCTTTCTTTCTTTCTTTCTTTCTTTTGAAAAGGCAAAACAGGGGCTGGTGCTGTGGCCTAGCGGGTAAAGCCGCCACCTGCAGTGCCAGTATCCCACATGGGCGTCAGTTCGAGTCCTGGCTGCTCCACCTCTGATCCAGCTCTCTGCTGTGGCCTGGGAAGGCAGTGGAAGATGCCCAAGTGCTTGGGCCCCTGCACCCACGTGGGAGACCCGGAAGAAGCTCCTGGCTCCTGGCTTCGGATTGGCCCAGCTTCAGCCATTACAGCCAACTGGGGAGTGAACCAGCAGATGGAAGACCTCTCTCTCTCTCTCCCTCCCTCTCTCTCTGTTTCTTCTTCTCTCTCTGTGTAACTCTGACTTTCAAATAAATAAATCTTAAAGGGGGGGGGCAACAGAGAGAGAGAAGTCGTGCATCCCCTGGTTCACTCCCCAAATGCCTACAACAGCTGGATTGGGCCAAGGGCGAGCACAGCTCTCCCACACAGGTGGCAGTGACACAGGGACTTGAACCATCACCTGCTGCCTGCCAGGGTGCGCCTTAAGAGGAAGCTGGAATCAGGAGCAGAGCCAGGACTTGAACCAGGCGCTCTGATATGGGAGGTGGACATCTCCCCAGCGTTTCAACTGCTGTGTCAAAAATGCCCGCCCCTAAGATGCACTTCTTTAAAAAATGGGTCATGGGGGCCTGCGTCGTGGTGCAGTAGATTCAACTGCCTCCGTCAGTGCTGGCATCCTGTACAGGCACTGGACTGAGTCCCGGCTGCTCCACTTCCAATCCAGCTCCAGTGCTGTGCCTGGGAAGGCAGTGGAAGATGGCCCAAGTTCTTGTGCCCCCACCACCCACGTGAGAGACCCGGATGGAGCTCCAGGCTCCTGGCTTTGGCTTGGCTCAGCCCTGGCCACTGTGGCCATTTTGGGGGAGTAAACCAGCATATAGAAGATCTCTCTCTCTCTCTCTCTCTCTCTCTCTCTCTCTCTCTCTCCAAAACCAACACAGCACTGCCCAAGGCACAGTCCCTGGCTCAGCCTTCCTCCCGTCCCTGCTCTCGATCAGTGGCTGGAAGTCAGGATGGAAAGCGAGGGGCTTCTGCACCCAGGGAACCCCCTGCTCCATGCAGCCCCCGTCACGCACAGCTGCGGGAGTCTCCCCTGCCTGCGCCCAGCGTCTGGCCCGGCACCTTCCTGCTTGCTGACTCACTGTCCCCCGTGTCACAGCCTTGCACGCTGCACCTCGCCACAGTCTGCTGCTGCACACTTGTGTGGGAGGGAGGCCTCATTGCTTCTCACTGCTCCTGTATCTGCAGCGAGCAGAGCCCCAGCTGGGGGCAGGGGGGCGGGCAAGGCCCTCAACTCAAGCTGATAAAGCCCTACTGGCTGCTCACTGCTGCCCTGTTGGACTCCCCACACCCGGTGGTCCCTGGCACTCCCAGAATCTCTGCGAGGGGACCCTGGTCTGCTGGGCGGTGGGAGATCGGGACCACAGATTACAGGGTCTCGGGTGACCAGCACAGGGCTCTCCGAAGAGAATACTACCGACGTGTCAGGCCCCGGCACTTGTTTTGGTGCCTGAAAACACGTGTCGTGGCCATGGCGCTGTGTTGTCTTCTGCGGACAGACACAGAGCCCCAGTGTTCACAGTGCCAATTACAAGGCACGTTTAACCCCGACATACAAAGGCCTGGTTGTATCCAAGCAGCCGAGGGAAGCGTCTCGGATCTTTGGACACCGGTCCTTGGATGGAGGAACCGGCCTGTCCTTTGTGGGGCTCTGGGGCCATTCTCTCAGGCTCGGCCAAGTGCCGTCCAGCAGCGAGCTGGGGCGGAGCAGGTTCGGTGCCCTGCCTGCGGGTTTTCGGGGGCTGCATCTCCCCACGGGCTGCGCAGTACCTGAGGCTTCGTGGCACCTTTTCCCTGCAGAGTTGGAGAAGGAAGTGGGTCAAGAAAATGGACCCATTTATTCTCCTGCATTAAAAATGAGATTTCCCCAAATAAACACAGCAGCTACCAGCACCTGCCCTTCAGGAGGAAGCATCTGCTGTCTGGTGGGTGGGGTGACGCCGGGGGAGATATTCGTTCTAAAACCTACTTGTGGCCAAACCCAGCGCTGCTCCCAGAAACAATGCCGTTTCGTCACCACATCACCAAGGGGCATCAAGGCTCCCAGTGGGGCAGGCGCACGGCACAGAGGTTACATCTCTGCTTGGGATGCCCTGTGCCATAGCAGAGAGTGGGGGTTTGAGTCCCAGCTCTGCTCCCAGTCCAGCTTCCTGCTGACGCACACCCTGGAGAGAGCAGGTGATACTCAAGTACTTGGGTCCCTGCCACCCCCGCGGGAGGTTCAGACTGAGCTCCAGGGACCTCACTCCATCTCTCTCTCTCTTCCTCTCTCTCTCTCTCTCTCTCTCTCTCTCTCTCAACCCATGACTTTCAGATACATGAACATTTTTAACAAACCAAACCCCGCCTCCATAGATACCATCAAGAGGAGGGCTTGGATCCAGCATCTTAGATCTGACATCTACTAGATTTGTTACATAAACCCTGGCAAATCCACGTCACCAAATGATAGGCCTGCTACGGCAATGCTTTTTACAGAGTTTCTTGCAACAGAATGTTTGTTACTCCCAGGACAAACGTGCCCCTCCTTTCCCCAGGGAGTAATCCACAACAACTCACGGAGCTACAGGACTTTTTTCAAAAAGGAGCTAAGATTTGAGCTCGGAAGGAAATGCTTTGGGATGCCCACAAGGGCCTCTCTAAGGGTTGGAACAATGTGATACTTTTCATTTTTCTGTATCTTCTACATTGTTTCATAAAGAGTATGTCTGATACTTTGTATCTGGGAGGACTAACATCAAGAAGCCAGCGGTTGTTCACCAGGGAGGGAATCTGGTTATCGAGCCTCGTCCTTGTTCCAGCGACACATGAGACCCTCATCTGACAACTGGCAGCCGGGAACCCTGCCCAGGCTACACGAGATGCACACCCGGGACCGTCTGGCCCATTCCAGATTACACCAGATGCCAAATTTAGAGGTTTGGCAAGCTCTGAATGTCACTGGGTTTGGGGTTGGTTTCTCCTGCACCCACTGCCAGCCACGGATGCACACACTGCCACGTGTCTTCGTGGGGTTCAACGTGGACGGCCCCTGAGAGGACCAGGCTCCCCAGGTCCTGGCACCGTCTTCTTGAAGGAAGACGGGCTGTTCAGGAGCTTCCGGAATCCCGATTCTGTTCTCCCAGGGACCCTGGGAGCCTCACTGGAGATGGGACAGATGTGGCTGACAGCCATTGCTGGCATCGGGATTTCCCAAATAAACGCTACAATCCAGAGGCGACGTTGGTCTCACAGCAGGGCTCCCCCCAGGAGACTGCATTACCTGGAACTGGCTCCAGGCCGGCCTTGCCCTTGGTGTATCACCTGCTTGACTCTGTGGCTCAGGCAGCTGCAATAAGCCAGTGAATTTTTGTCTCTGTGACTTTATTCTTCTGATTATTCAACCTGTTGATTGGAGCCAGAGTCACAGCAGAGTGTCTCCGGTCAGATGCGCTTCCATTCCCCAACTGCCCATGAAATACGTTGCTGTTCCTCAAACTGGCTTCCTCACCTCTCTCTCTCTCTTTCTCTATCTCTCTCTCTCTATCTCTCTCTATCTCTATCACACACACACACACACACACACACACACACAGACACGGAAGCCTGAGCCCGGGATGCTTGTCCCTGCTGTGACCCTGACATACACCTCTTCAGGCCCAGTGTCACCGTGATGAAGCCGTGCCCGACACCCGGTGGAAGGCAGCCAGGAAGCCAGGAATGCCCATAACAGAAAGCTATTCATGCACCCAGCGGGTATTCACGGGGTACCTGCTACGTGCCACACACTGGGGACACAGCCAAGAGCCACTTAGACACAGTTCTGTTCCTGTGGGATCCACTAGACATGTAGTAAAGCAGTTCAAAAGGAAACCCACTGGGGACCCGGCCCCACGGTGGGAACACAGCAAGCGGGAAGCTCAATGGCCCACTACAGGGGATGAGAAAGGAAACATTTAGGCTGCGTCTCGGCTCGTGTCGCCAGCACCAGTTCGAGTCCCAGCTGCTCTGCTTCTGACCCAGCTCCCTGCCAATGCTCCTGAGAAAGCAGTGGAAGGTGGCCCTAGTACTTGGGTCCCAGCCACCCATCGGGGAGGCCGGAGGGTCTAGGCCAGGCCAGGCTGCTGTGGCCATTTGGGGAGAGAACCTAGAGAATCTAGCAGATGGAAGATCTCTGTCTCCCCCTCTCTGTCGCTCGCCTTTCAAACAAACATCTGAATGTAAATGGACCCCACCCTGGGGCCACCATCTCCACTGCGCTAACAGTCAAGTCCCAGACTCTGAACGGCGCCCTTTTCGATCATGCACAACCTCCTCCATCGCCTGGGACCTCTGCCTGCGGGCAGAAGAGGGAGCCAGAGAGGAAGCAGAGCTGCTTCCCAGGGGCCTTGGCGTGCCCCAGGATCCCAAGGCCTCTGCTCAAGCTCCATTGTCCATGCCTCATCACGTGACCTGCCTGGATGCGGAGGGGCTTCTGGGAAACGTAGTCCCAGGCTGTGGACGGCCTACTGTCCACAGGGTAGCAGCGCAGGGCAGATTTTGGTGGAGCCATCTTTGCCACCGTCACCACCTACAGTCTCATGCAAACTCCTTACTTCTCCAAGCTGGTTCCTGCCTCCCCACAGGCACCTTCTACAGCCCCAGGCTCCAGCCCAGGCTCGAGATCTGGTCACCACCCTCCCATGTCACTGAGCATTTGATGGGACACATCCCAACCACCTGAACACGGGCAGGGGCGGGAGCTTTGTCTAGCGGTTGAGATGCTGCTTGGGAGGCCAGCAGCCCAGACTGCCTGGGTTCCAGTCCCAGCTCCACTCCCATCCAGCTTCCTGCTGGTGCAGACCCTGGAGGCCCCAGCTGACTGCTCAGGTGGTCGGGTTCCTGCCACCCACGTGGGAGACTTCGAGGAGTTTCCAGCTCACAGCTTCTGCCTGGCCCGGGCTAGGGCCTGGCAGGCATTTGGAGAGTGACCCAGAGGATGGGAGCTCCTTTGTCTGTTTGTCTCTCAAATACACTTTAAACATAGCTTTTTAAAATACTGTGGAGTTTTTCAGGGGCAAGCGCCGTTTCTGAAGGCTGCTTCCTTTTAGCAGCCATCGCTGACCGAGCCACTGAAAGCGTCTCGGAGTCCGAGCCGGATGCGGCTGGCCTGCGGCAGCAGGGAAGGGGAGTGACAGGCGTTTGCTGCAGCTGCTGAGGCAACGCTAGGGAAGCCGACATCCCGCATCAGCGTGCCTGCAGAGTTCCAGCTTCCTGCTGACGCACACTCTACGAGGCAGCAGGTGATGGCTCAAGTATTCGAGCCCTTGCCACCCCCGTGGGAGACCTGGTTGGCGTTCAAGGCTCTCAGCTTCAGCCCGGCTCAGGCCCTGGCCCAGGTGTTGCAGGCATTTGAGAAATTAATCGGTGAATGAAAGCTCTTGTCTCTTTCTCGCTCTCGCTCTCTCTCTCGCTCTCAACTCTGCCTTTCAAATAAATAAATAAATCTTAACAAAGAAAAAGACAGACCGAGCCGGGCACCTCCTGGATTCCTGAGTCTCAGAAGCTGGGCAGTGCGCGCTCACGGCTCAGGCTGCTGGATGTTGGAATAACTCGCTTCCTGCAACAGATCAGGAAAACAGGGATTTTCATTGCCTGCCCACAATCGAGTATGCATTTTTGTTTACTCAGGGAGAGAGGAAAGTGGAAGTTATAGAATACATTCATTCTTTGCCGGCGCCGCGGCTCACTAGGCTAATCCTCCGCCTGCGGCACCAGCACCCCAGGTTCTAGTCCCAGTCGGGGCGCCGGGTTCTGTCCCGGTCGCCCCTCTTCCAGGCCAGCTCTCTGCTGTGGCCCGGTAGTGCAGTGGAGGATGGCCCAAGTGCTTGGGCCCTGCACCCCAGACCCAGGAGACCAGGAGGAAGCGCCTGGCTCCTGGCTTCGGATCAGCGCAGTGCCAGCCATGGCGGCCATTTGGGGGGTAAACCAACGGAAAGAAGACCTTTCTCTGTCTCTCTCTCTCTCACTGTCTAACTCTGCCTGTCAAAAAAAAAAAAAAAATACATTCATTCTTGTTTAATCTCAGCACTGCAAAGGCCTCAGGAAATACCCATTAGAAAAGCCCTGGTATTCTGTGTGCTGCTCTAAGTCCCCAAGGAATTGGTATATTACTAAGAACGGGGGGGGGGGGGGGGGGAGAGGGCCTCTCCACCCCTGCAGGGCTGTCTGGAATGCCCCATTCCTTGAGGAGTTTTCTCTGGCCCACCCCTCACACCTAACCTCAGGATGTGGTTTTGGTTTCTCCTACAGGACCCTAACTTTATGACATTTGTCATAGTGCGTCTCAGTTCATTAATTCAACAAAGACACATTTACGAGTGCCCAGAGCCCACTCTGTCAAGGTGTTTGGGATGCACCTGTGAACCCAGCTCACCAAGAGCCTGCATGGGCGATGATGCACTCCAATGCAGCGCAAAGCCACCTCTATGTGGTGGGAGGTGATGACTGTCAGGGAAAAAGGGAAAAGAGCAGGGGGGTGAGGCATTTGTGCCTTTCTCGTGTCCTGGCTCAGACCATCAGCAGTTCAGGCAGGTGGCCGGCGGGGGAGGGGTGGCAGGTGGGCTTGCCCGTGCCAGGTGCTTGCAAGTATTTCCTTAGCAAACACAAGGATGACGCGGCTAGCCCGGGAACGAGGAGCTCACTCCAGTGCCAAATCCAAGAGCTGCTGACAGGAAGTCCTGTTCCCAGGGTACCAGCAGAATGGGTACCACAGAGAAGCCTGTCTGGGTGGAAGCCTGGGCTGATCCTCCCTTCTACCCGCAAGGAAGGGCTTTCGCCCCTCTCCCTGGTATACCAGATGGCCAGTTTGGCAGACCTGCATGGAATGAACCCCAGCATTCCTAGAGCTGTTTGCCTAGTGTCCCAGGGCCGAGTAAATGAGGCTGTTCTTGTACTTGAGACCCCCATGGAGACTCCACCAGCCATCAGTGTTCCATGCCCGGACTGCACCCCTGAGAACCTTAGGAACTGGCCCAAACCCTTGTCCTCCTGCCTCAGGTCCATGCATGTTTCACTAAGCAAGAATACCCTCCACCATTCTCCACATACACAGAACTTCATGAAGTTTGTGGAAAATGGAATTAAAAGATGAATGTACTTTGATGAAAACAATTACACTGAATTCCAGGCATCTGCAGGGTCTTTAAAAAGTCCCTGGAAAATGTGCATTATTACAAACAACTTGGGGCCGGCGCTGTGGCATAGCGGGTAAAGCCCCCGCCTGCAGTGCCAGCATCCTATATGGGTGCCGGTTCGAGTCCTGGCTGCTCCACTTCTGACCCAGCTCTCTTCTATGGCCTGGGAAAGCAGTGGAAGATGACCAAGTGCTTGGCCCCCCGCACCTGTGTGGGAGACCCAAAAGAAACTTCAAACTCCTGGCTTCGGGTCAGCTCAGCTCTGGCCGTTGTGGCCACCTGTGGAGTGAACCAGCAGATGGAAGACCTCTCTTTCTCATTCTCTCTGCCTCTGCCTCTCTATAACTCTGCCTTTCAAATAAATAAATAAATTTAAACACACACACACACACAAAACTCTACGAGTAGACGTTTGGCCTGGGGGTTAGGATGCCAGTTCTGATACCTGTATCCTACTTCAGAGTCTCTGGGTTCAAGTCCTGGCTCTGTTGTGGGGACTGAGAGCCCCAGGCCAGCTCAGAGAGACCCCTAGCTAGACTTGGTCCAGGTTCTTGTCTTCCCGCACGTCAGAATACAACTGGGACAGCCAGAGGTGAGCGGAGATGCAGTATTTGTTGCAAAGCATGCAACAGTGTACACTCAAGGCACAAGTGCAGAAAGAGCTGGCCCCACCCAGGCCGGCGTCATCCTTCTCAGAAGACAAGGGGTGGTGCTTGAGAAAGGTTTGATTGATTGTTCATAGGAGGCGGGGCTAGGGAGGGAGGCCAGGTTTGCCGCGGCGCTCGTGGCTGTGTCCGGTGATGTCACGGTGTCTGGCCGGTGGTGGAGAGCGAGGCTGAGCTGTGTGAGGAGTGGGTGCACCATCTTCAGCCCTGCTGGGTCGGCAGGGAGGCTGATGGGATGCGGGTGGTGCACAGGGCTGGGTACTGGCGGTCCCTAGCTCTCCGCCCTTGAGCTGACTCCCTGCCATTCCTGTATGGGAATGTATGTGTGCCTGCTTGTACCCGGGAGGCTAAATACTGAAGACAGCATCCTGCTCTGTCTCTTCCTCCCTGCCCGTCTCTCTGCTCCTTTGGCCGATGCTCCAAGGACAGGGGATTCCATCGACCACAACGGCCCTCCGCGTGTCTGTTTCTTTCTTCTACCCAGAACTGGCCGTGGCACTTGCTGTGGGATCTGACCAGCTCAGGGTACAGTCCATGGAACTTGGCGCTATTTTAATGCAGATCGTGTAGTTCTGAACAAACCATCATGTGTCCAGCCTTGCTGAGCACAGAGGCACCTAAAATGGGAATTCTTCCCATGAGCTCGAATGTAGTCTGGTCCTCCCCGTCTATCCATAGTTGACCCCTGGGACGAATGGAGTGGCACAGCAGGTTAAGCCGCTGCTTGGGACCGTGGATTCCCATATCAAAGAGACCAGCTGGAATCCCCACTGCTCCGCTTTAGATCCAGCTCCCTGCCAAAGCACCTAGAAAAGCAGCGGAAGATGGCCCTGGTGCCCCGCCACCCACATGAGAGACCAGAATGGAGCTCCAGGCTCTGGGCTTTGGCCTGGCTCTGCCCTGGCTGGTTCCGCCATCTGTGGAGTGAACCAGCAAAAGGAGGATCCCTCTCTCTGTCATTTTGCCTTTCTAGTAAACAAAAATTTTTTTAAAGTCACATGTAATATTCCAGGGGCTTCAGTGCGGTTTTGTTGGATTTGCCCGTGTTTGTGGATCATTTTGTTTGTTTGTTTGTTTTGTTTTGTTTTTGTTTTTATGCTAGGAAGTAGTGGTGGCCAGGCTGGTCAGAGCATCACAGACCCCAAATACGTACCTGATCCATTTTGCAACTTTGGCCTCCTTAGCGTACCTGATTCAGTCCAAGCTGCCACCAGCCAGGGACGCGGCCCGACCCGGCATGCTGCCGTCTCCAGTCTCAACCTTCCTGTACCAAGCCTGACTTTTAAATGCCTTCCGCCGTCACACGCCCGCGCGGGAAACCAGGAGTCTCCTTTGGCTTCGGAAAAACCCAGTCTTCAAGCGCTGCCCGTCCCGCAGGCGCACGGTCTTCGACAAGGGGCGGGCGAGGGGCGAGGAGCCAGATAGGGGGAGTCCGGAGATTGCAGCCACTGGGTCAGCATCAAGGACAAGGGCTAAATAGCGTAACCGAGGCTCTGTTTGCCAGCAAGCGAGGCTCAGCTCCTCACGATGACCGGTCTGGCACACACGCGGACTCTGCGTGCCCCGGCGACCTCCTACGCCAACGCGCGTCTTTCCAACGCGGGCTCCTGCGGCGCGCCTTGGCCGTGGGGGACGTCGGTGCCTTGGAGGAACGCAGAAGGGGGCTGGTTCTCCGCAGCCGGGAATTGATGGCGATGCGGCGCTCGACAGCGGAGGCCCCGTCCGCCCTCGGAGCGCTCCCAGCCGCCCGCGTTCTCGGGGAGGGGGCGCACAGGACGCCCCAGCTCCGTGGAGACGCCCGGGCGCGGGGCGCTCGGAGCCCGGCAGGGAGAAGACGGAGCGCGCGCGGCTCCCAGGACCCGGCGCGCGTCCCGGTCACCCGCCACCGTTTGTTTCAAAGCACAGCGCTTGCGGTAATGAAACGCATAGCCCAAGTACCGGTGCCGCTTGCGGTGGGCGCCGCGGCCAGGCGTACCAGTCCCCGCGGCCCTTCTCGGAGACCGGGAAGCCTCCTCCGGGCTTGGGCGCGAAGCTGAAAGGAGCCTCCTGGGACAGCTCCTTGAGCCCGACCTCGCCTAGCGCTAAAGACCAGCGAGCGCCGCACGCAGCACCACGCGCCTCCGAGAGCCGGGAAGAGGTTTCGGGGAGTGCAGGGGCCAGAGCGCCCCCGGCTTCTGCCGAGACCGGGAGGGCTGCGCTCTGGGGAAAGGGACCTCTCCCCCCGGGGGGCCATTTCGCAGCGAGCCTTGTTTGTAGCGCAGCGGGGGCTCCCTGGGGCGGGATGCTCCGGGCCTGGCCGGCGCGTGTAGGAGTGCGCACCGCAGGGAGGTGCATCGCGCGTGCACGGCACGGGCCGGACGCGCGCCGGTGCCGACGCTGCACAGAGGGCCAGCGCCGCGGGGCGAAAACGCCACGCGAAGCCCGGGCCCGGACGCCTGGGCCCCTGGCCAGGAAGGCCGAGCGTCCGCGCAGACCCGCGTCGGCGCCCCTCCGGCCGGCGCGCTCACGAGCGGAGGCTGCCCCCGGAGGCGGGAGGGCAGGCGGCGAACGGGAAGGACCCCGGGCAGCGCCAGCTCCGGGAGGAGCGCGCGTCGGGGCCGGGAAGAGCGCGCAGCTCGCACCCCCGGGCGCTGCCCGCGCGGTCTGGAGGAGCGCAGCACGGGCGGGTATTAAGGGGGCAGGGGGAGGCGTGGCCTGACCAAGGCGAGCCAATGAGAGAGGAAGGGGCCCGTGGGGGCGGAGCTCTGGAGCGGAGCGCCGATTGGCCAGCTGGCGCTCCGGTATGCAGATGCGGTGGGAGTCACGTGCCAGGGGCCAGGCCGACTTCCTGTTGGAGGCCGCTGCGGGGCGGGGCAGGGGCGCGAGCGCCCCGTCTGGCTGGAGCGGGGGGAGGGGGGTTCTTGTCAGTTAGAGCAACAAGATGGCCGCGCTGGCAGCTCCGCACCTCTGCGCGACGGCCCCGGGAGCCGCCGCCGCCGCCGCCGCCCGCCCTGCCGCGCAGCCCTGAGCGCCGCCGGCCCGCCCCGCCGCTTGCTGACAGGACCGGCCCCGCGCCCGCCGCGCGCCGCCGCCGCCGCCGCCGCGGGCCCTCCCGAGCCGGAGACGGAGGGAACGGAGCGGCCCCGCGCCCAGCTCGCCGCCGCCGCCGCCGCCTCGGACCCGGGCCGCGCCGGAGCCGCGTCCCGTCGGCGCGAGGAGCAGGGCGCGCCGCGGCCTCGCCGGGGCCGGCCCTGGACCCGCCGGGCCGCGCCGCCGCCGCCCGCCCGCCCGCGCCGGGACCCGAGCGGGCCCCCGCCGCCTGAGCGCCCGCGAGGCCCCCGGGCCGCCGCTGTGGGAGCCGCCGCCGCCGCCAGGCCCGCGCCGCCGGAGCCCCGCGGAGCCGCCGCCGCCGCCGGGGACGGAGCCCAGGTGAGCGCGGCCGCCGCGCCGCTCGGCCCTTTGTTCGGCGGAGCGGAGCCCGGGGCGGGAGGTGGCCCGAGCGCCCCGCGTGCGGCGCCCGCAGCCCCGCGGAGCGGTGCGGGAGGCGGGCGGTGCGGGCGTCCGGCCAGCCGCGCCTCGGGAACGAGCCGGCTCCTTTTTCTTTCTCCTTAACGAGCGCGGCGGGGGAGGACGGCTCCCGCCTGCCCCGCCGCCCGCACGCAGACTGTGCGTGGCTGGCGACGGGCACCGATCCAGGCTGTTTATTTTGCGGGCGCGGAGCGCGGTGCGTTGTCTCGGAACGCCGGGCGCGCGCGGGGTGACAGGAGCCGGCCTGGGCCGTGCGGGGCCCCAGCGGCGCCGCGGGCTGCGGGGAACGCGGGCGAGCCCCGCGCCGCCTCGCCTCGCCCGCCTCTGCGGGGCGAGCGCACCGCGGCGCCCCGGCGCCCCCCGCCGCCCCGCTCCCCGCGGTGCCTGGTCCGCAGCTTTACCTTGCGGGCGAGAAGGAATCCGTCGACGGATGGCGTTGGAAGGGGCACGTGTGGCTGCGGGCGTCGCCGCCGGCGCGCGCGTTCCCCGCGGCCCCGGGAGGCGGCGCGGGACGACCGAACCTCCGTGCGCACGGTCTGCTCGGTTATCGCTGGGCGTGAACTGCGGGTCTGTGCGTGTGTAGACCTCCACCTCGGCCCCGCATCTTAAGGAGCCGCCCGCCTGGCGGGCTCCATTGTGCAGCCGGGGCGCGCGGGCCGGGGCAGGCGGTCAGTGGCGGCGATGCTGGGCGAGGCGTGTGCGTCTCTGACCCTCGCGGGGCGCTTGGCCTGCGCGTTGCCGCCTGCCTTTGGAATTGAGCGGTTTCGGAGGTCAGCGGGGGCCGGTGTGCAGGGTGCGGGGCTGCTGCACTGATTCGTGGGTCGCAGACTCCCCTCGGCCCTGCGTGGAGGGATAAACGATGGGCACCTTCGGGGCGTCCGCGTTACTCCAGAGCGGCGGCGGCGGCGGTGGCGCTGGCCTTGAACCCCTCAGCCTTGGTGGGGAAAGTGAGATTTAAATGACAGTTGCGTTATCTGAATTCATCTTCTTGTTAATGTTTGCAGACCGAGCGAGGGTCTGGACAGCTGTGACTCTACCCTGAAAGGGTTTGCAGATGTCTATATGGACATTTTTAATATTTGTGTTTGCATAGCTGAAAATTCTTAGTCTGGTCTGTTTTTCTTTCGCATGTTGGATCGTGAGAAATGTATGCAGCTCAGCGGTTATGCGTAAGACGTGGATACGTCTGTCTGTACACACAGACTGAATCTCTGTCATAGGGATCTATTCTGACGTCCTGGCCCTAGCCGTTCACTCCCACCCCAGTCTGACGTTGCCGGAGAGGTGCAGGATTCAGTTAGCTGGATGCTGAGGCTGTGGTAGGCTCGATCCCAGCATCTCCGCTGTTTTCTGGCGGTAGCAGGCGGAGGTGCATGCAAGTGTTGGTTTTCCTTTTCACAGTGTTTATTTTTTTCAAGTAGCATACAGTTGAACACTTTAGCAAAGATTATTTTGTAACAGTCTTAGACTTCCTTGGCTGAGGAATTTGGAGTACATAGTCACTGAGAGTGGGGGTTATGAGCAAAAACTGTTTGATTTTATGTTTCGTGATTAAATAAAAGCAAGCAGTGGCGCAGGGAGCCTTGGGGCTGTGAGTGCCCCTGCTGCTCACCACCGTCTTTTTGTCGGGCCCAGCTTTCCTGAGACAAGCCGGGGGCCTTCCCGGTGCTGGCTCGGGTGTGTTGCCGCCGGCCGGAGGGGGCCAGCTTTCCTCAGGGGAGGGCACTTGGAACTGGGAGGAAGCGGAATAGAACTCCCGCGGCGTGGCTGAGCGGGGCCCTGCGTGCACACCTGGCCCTTGCTCGCGTGATGTTTTAAGAAGCTGACTGGTGGAAGCTCCCTTATCTGTCCACTGTCTGACCTGGCGCGTGGTGTCGGTGACGTTTCTCCCACCAACGTTTGGAGGTTCAGGAGTCATTTGCAAGACTTGGTGGGTCCCTCTCGCCCCTCCGTGCAGGAACTGGAGCCGGTAGGTTGCAGGCTCAGGTTGGAGGACCACTTACCTCTGGGTCAGGGCTTGCTGTACAATCTGAGAATATTTTATAAGAGGGAAGAGCCTGCTTGCGAAGTCTGAGACTGTCCACTTATCATTTACAGTGTGTGAGACAAATAAGACTTGAGGTTGCAGCAAGCAAAGATTACTTGCCAGGCAACTGAATCCCAAAGGGACGCGTGAGGAAAGGGGGGAGGAGACGCGGACCATCGACCGTGGGAGACGTCCTGGGACCCGGGGTGGTGGAGGGAGCAGCGGGCAGGCAGGGAGGAGCCCAGCCACTTGGTTTTCCTTGACTGAAATCCTCTGACTTCTTCCGTGTGACTTTGAGACTCCCCAGGGTTCTTAACCGTGCACTCAAGTGACGCCGGCACAGCACCGGCCGGAGCCTCTCCCGGGTGGCCCCCCTTCCCCCGGGAAGGCCGTATCGTTTGAGATATCTGACATCTGATTTTGTTTGAAGACGTCGTTAATTTGAGTACAGAGAGCAGAATCTCAACTGAGAACTGGCCAGTATTTTTTTCTGATGGATTTTCCAAGTTTTCTTGCTTTCAGCTCATCTATGAATATCTAAATTTTTACAGATTAACATTTAAATAGTTGTACAGACACAGGGATAACATTCTGTATAAAATAATATACAAAAAGCTTTCTATAAATAGGCTTTAGTACAATAAAGATATTCCCATTTATACATTTCCAGCTGTGCACAGCTTTTCAGGACTATGTAGGTTATTTGTGAGAAATAACTAATATTGAGTAGAATTGTGCCTGCATGCATGTGCTAACCATGCTGAAACTGAGAAATAGAGTTCTTTTTTAAAAAAGTTTATTATCTGAGAGGCAGAGTTAGAGAGAGAGAGAGAGGAAGAAACGGAGAGAGAGGTCTTCCATCCATTGGTTCACTCCCCAAATGACTGCAACAGCCAGAGCTGCGCTGATCCAAAGCCAGGAGCTTCTTCTGGGTCTCCCATGTGGGTGCAGGGGCCCAAGCACTTGGGCCATCTTCCACTGCTTTCCCAGGCCACAGCAGAGAGCTGGATCAGAAGTAGAGCATCCAGGACTCAAACCAGCACCCGTTTGGGATGCCGGCACTGCAGGCAGAGGTTTAGCCTACTATGCCACAGCACTGGCCCCGAGAAATACATAATTCTTGCCCAGAGAACATGTTTGAAGAACTCAGAATAATTGTAGAAGTTTGTGTGTATAGATCATGCATTCGAACCGTAAGCTTGTTAAACGATAATAGAGTGTGTATTTTTTAGTTCTGCAATACTAGAAATGGATTCTTGACCTCAGGTGTTTTCAGAGAATTACGAAGGTATTTCAGGGTGGAGAACCGTTTGCTAGGACTGCGTTCTCCCCCTGAGCCCTGGGAAGACCACAGGGCTGTGCACAGAGCTGCGGCGTCGGGGCCTGCCGCCTGAGATGTGCGCCACCGTGAGACACACACCGCCGTGAGACACACCGCCGCTGCGGCGCAGCTGGTTGTCACCCCCTCTGCTCGCTGTGCGGCCACGGCAGAGGCCAGGGCTTTGGAGAGTTCCAGCTGTGTGCAGGGCCCTCGGTTTCTAGGATGTGATGATGGTTCAGAATGGGCAAAATGTAGCCTCCTAACTGTGTGCCTCTCGTGGGCCGGCAGATCTTAATGTTTGCTCCAGGAAAGAGAATGGACGTGTGCATCCCATACTCTCCCTCCTTACTGGCCCCTTGTTGCCCCGGGAGGCGGCCTCCCTGAGGATGCATCTATGGCCCTGGGCCCAGGGAGTCTGGAGTTCTGTCTCCCAGAGCTGCAGGTGCTTGGTCTCCACTGGCCTCCCACGAGTTGTCCTGATACAACAGACTGTGAACACTTTCCTCACCAGTGAGAGTCAGCGTGTGGGGACCCAGCAGCGTGGCAGGGAGCACACAGCGTTTTCCGTGGTCCACGTCAGTCCGGACGCTCCCTCGGGCCTTCAGAATGCAGACCCTGAGCAGCACTGTGCTCTGTTTTTTAAAGATTTATTTATTTATTTATTTGAAAGATAGAGTTATAGAGAGGCAGAGAGAGGGATCCTCCATCTGCTGGCCCCAATGGCCAGAACTGCGCCAATCCGAAATCAAGAACTCCTTCTGGGTCTCCCATGCAGGTGCTTTCCCAGGCCCTAGCAGGGAGCTGGATCGGAAGTGGAGCAGCCGGGTCTCAAAGTGGCACCCACTCGGGATGCGGCTCTGCAGGTGGCGGCTCTACCTGCGTTGCCCCGGCCCGGGCCCTGGCCCCGGCCCTGGCCCTGGCCCCGGCCCCCACTCTTGATCTGGAGGCTCTGCTGGACTCTGAGGTAGTTTGAGGACAGCAGGCACCGAGTCGGCTCACTGCCAGCTGCCCTTTGCCACGAGCCTCCGCCAGAGGGGCTGTTGGGGGCGTGTGCTTTGTTTGATCATTGTGTGTGTCTGGTCTGGCTTGTTTACAATGTGATCTCTCAGAACTGAAGTCGCTTGCCGGATTTGAGCTTGGCAAAGGTACTGTTTACTTTTTATTCCCAAGGATAATGTCTTTTTAATTACTCTTGTAATAAGCTAGGGAAACCTAAGTTAAATGGTGACTGGGAGTTCAGCTAGGACCCGAGCTGGGAATGGCGGTGAGGCGCATCGGGTCTCCTTCCGGGAAAGGCGTCCGCCGCGGAGGGGCTCGGAGATGCTCCGGGGAAGGCGTCCGCCGCCGAGTGGGTCGTGACTCCGGGAAGGGCGTGCAGCGTTGCTCGCTGGGTCGTGGTATGTTTTCTCACACTGCGCGCGTAACCTGAAATGCTGAGGGTCGCAGGAGTGTGGAGGGAGGGTGTTGTTTGCGAGGCTATGGGCTGGCACTTTAAAGGAGGCTTTTCTAGTAGGGAAGCGCGGTGGGGAAGAAGGTGATGGCCATGTGGGCGCAAGTACCCCGGAGTCACTGAGGGCCGTCGTGAGGTGGGTCTCGGGGCGCATCCTCCCAGGTAACCAGAGCTCTGCTGGAGACGCTCTCCCAGAGGCACAGCCGTGCTGGAGCGACTGCTGCGAGATGCCGCCAGGGTGTGAGCTCCCACCTGCTAGTCCTCACGGCGCTCCGCCAAGTGGCTGCTTTTATTGTTCCCATTTTACAGATGAGCAGACAGAGGCACAGAGACACGGAATTTCACAAGACGCTAGCTCGTGGAAGTGGGTTACTTGGGTTACTTGAATAGCTTCTTGGTCAGCCTCTTCCCTGCTGGCTGCTGCACGGAGCCAGCCGCGAGGGCTCACCGGTGCTTTCTAGGACGGCTGTGTATCAGCTCACCCCTCCCTCAGCAGCACCTTATACGGCAGGTGCTGTTGCTGGGTCCATCTTAGAGACAGGGACGCTGCAGCTGGCGAAGGCGAGTACTCTCCCCGGTCAGAGCCTTGGGAGACATGCCGGGGCCTCTGCTGCCCGAGCTCCTGGTCAGCGCCAGGGCTCACCGTCTGCCCACCCCTCAGAGACTGCCTTCTCTGTGCGGCGCCCTGGCAGAAAAGACGTGCTCCCCTGCCCTGCCAGTGACAGTGAGACACGGGCGCCGCGCGAGGTTTTTAAAGAGAGAGCAGTTAAATGTTGTGAAGGAAACACGGACGCAAATAAGAAGTGAACACAAATTCGAGGTGCAGGGTCACTGTGCAGCCACAAACCGTGTGTCCCCTTTGAGGATTCCTGTCAGGCCGTCGGGTGCTCGGAGAAGTCCAGCACAAGAAACACGTGTCCCCTTATTGGCCCAGGAGCTCCAAACTGACGTGGCCACCAAGCATCATTTTCCCATCGCACTGCCTTTCAGTTCAGTGGGACGGGGCTGGGAAGCAGGTTTGGGGAGAGTGCCCGGGCGTTCAGAAGAGGGGCAGGGCCTGTGTTGTCCAGACTTCATCTGAGACGGGTCCTGAGAGTTGGTAGAGTTTGCTTGGGTGGAAGGAGACGTTCTTGGAGAACATTCTGGAGAGGGCCTGCACAGTGGCTGGGACTGGTAGGGCTCAGGATATGGAATAGATGAGTGCGGAGGCCTCACTGTGGTGGGAGCCTGGCTGCTTGTGTTGACGCTAACGCTTAGAGGTGGAACCGGGATTCTTTGGCTGGTTGGAAGCTGTTGATGATTGATGACGTGAACTTGACTTCTGGGCTTCTAGTCTAGAAGCTGCGGCGAGCAGAGACACGGTGTGAAAACCACGGCTGTTGTAGCCATGTGTGTGCGGTGACCCAAGCTTGGACAAGCGTAATGGCAGGACGGGAGACCTGAAAAGGTGTGAGGAAGGGCAGGAGGACAGAATAACAGAAGTGGTTGACGTGGGTTGAAGGAGAGGCTGGAAGACTTCCTGCTCCTCCCAGAAGGCGCTTCGGATCCCGGCAGGGCCAGCATCCCGTCCCCCAGCTGCGCTGCTTCCAGTTCAGACCCCTGCCGCTGCGCCTGGGAAGGCAGCAGAAGATGGCCCAAGAGCTGGGTCCCTGCCACCGTGCGAGGCGTGCACAGAGCTCCAGACTCCCGGCTTCAGCCATCTGGGGAGTAAACTAGTGGATGGAAATTTGATTTCTCTCTCTTCAGTCTTTCCTTCAAAGAAATAAATCTCTAAAATAAAAACCAAAGTTGCGTAAAAGCTAATGTTGGGGCCGGCGCTGTGGCACAGCAGGTTAAAGCCCGGACCGTGGCGCCGGCATCCCATACGGGTGCCAGTTCAAGTCCCGGCTGCCCCACTTCCCATCCAGCTCTCTGCTGTGGCCTGGGAAAGCAGGAGAAGATGGCCCAAGTGCTTGGGCCCCTGCACCCACGTGGGAGACCCGGAAGAAGCTCCTGGCTCCTGGCTTCAGATCAGCTCAGCTGCGGCCATTGCGGCCAATTGGGGAGTGAACCAGCGGGTAGAAGACCTCTCTCTCTCTCTCTCTCTCTCTCTCTCTCTCTCTCTCTCTGGCTCTGCCTCTCTCTAACTCTTTCAGATAAATAAAATGAATCTTAAGCGTGTCTGCTTCAGCTGCTGCTCCTGGAAAGATGGCGACATACAGGCAGCAGTTCCAGCGGAGTCCACCCTGTGCCGTGGTGCTCTGGGGCAGACTTGACGCAGCCGAAATCCAAACGTGTGGTCAGAGGGTTGGCTGTTAGTTATGGTGAACGCTCTGAGTGAAATCGTTTCTCAGTACAACCGCCCGTAACAGAATTCTTAACTCAGACTTGGGAGAACAGCCCTAAATATGTTGTAAACTCTATGGGTATAAGATACTGACAGAAAAGAAAACAAAAATCCTTGAGTATTCCAAAGACACATGAGACCAGATTATAATATAAAAATAATATAAATAGTGTAGCAACTTAGTTGTGTTGAAGAGACTAGAGCTTTTTAAAGGTTAAATGAATTTAATAGCTACCTTAGTAGTAGATTCTTTTTAGAGAAAAAGAATGAAATAACAATCTTTTTTCTCCAAAGAAGGGAGCAGAGAAGTTTTAAAACAGATAAAAATATTTGTTTGTCCCCAGTCGGGATGAGTAAGAATCTTACCACCTGTTGTCTTTGTGTGACTTGTGCGTTGGTACTCTGTAGACTGAGCATTACTTACCATCACCATTCATCTCACACACCAGCATAGTCCATTACAGATTAATTCTTTGCAGAAAACATTGATTCTAGGGGCAGACATAGTGGTGCAGCAGGCTAAGCCACTGCTTGGGACGCCTTCATCACACATCGGAGGGCCGGGTACAGTCCCGGTTCCTCTGCTTCTGGTCTGGCTTCCTGCCAATGTGCCTGGGCGGGCAGGAGATTGTGGTTCAAGTCCTTGTGTCCCTGTACCCACACGGGAGACCCGGATGGAGTTCTCGGCTTCAACCTGGCAGACGTTGGGGGAGTGAAGCAGCGGATGGAGGATCTCTCCCTCTCTTTCTCTCTGTTTCTACCCCCTCTGTCACTCTGTCTTTCAGGTAGATAGATAGCTACATAGAGAGAGAGATCTGTTTTTAAAAAAATTACTTACTTAGATGTGAGTTACTTGTTAGTAGGGATAAAAATGCAATCCCTACAGTATCTGTGGTATCTTGTCTTTTTTTTTTTTTTAAATTTGCAAACCAGACTTATTGCTCACAGTTCCGGAGGCCGAGAATTCAAGGTCGAGGCACACCCAGAGGTGGTGTCTGGAGCGCACTGCTTGGTCACAGCTGCAGGTGTTGAGGTCAAAATCAGCAGTTCTACTTCGGATCATGTGTTTCTTTAGAAGGCTGCTTCCACAGATGACCCTGGCGGGGGGCGGGGTGGGGGCTGGGAACTGAACACAGAATCTAGGGTAATGACCAGGGGCTCCGAGGGCCCAGCATTTGAGATGAGTCCACCCTCGCCTTGTCCTCGGGCTCCTGGCTCCACGGTTCTGTGGCTCTCCACAGGAATGATCGGCTGTTTTCCCTGGAGGCCCCTCGGCACTATTTGTCGTTGTCACCAACTGCATCATGAAGAATTCAAGTCTGGTATTTCTTTAAAAAAAAAAAAAAAAGATTTATTTATTTGAAAGAGTTACAGGGACCGGCGCTGTGGCACAGAGGGTTAATGCCCTGGCCTGAAGCCGGGTTCAAGACCCAGCTGCTCCTCTTCCGATCCAGCTCCCTGCTATGGCCTGGGAAGGCAGTGGAAGATGGCCCAAGTCCTTGGGCCCCTGCACCCATGTGGGAGACCTGGAAGAAGCTCCTGGCTCCTGGCTTTGGATTGGCATAGCCGTTGCGGCTATCTGGGGAGTGAACCAATGGATGGAAGACCTCTCTCCCTCTCCCTCTCCTTCTCCTTCTCCCTCTTCCTCTCCCTCCCCCCTCCCTCTGTGTAACTCTGACTTTCAAATAAGTAAATAAATCTTAAAAAAAAAAAAAAAAAGTTACAGAGAGGCAGAGAGAGAGGTCTTCCATCCACTGGTTCACTCCCCAGTTGGCTGCAATGGCTGGAGCTGCACCGATCCGAAGCCAGGAGCTTCTCTGGGTCTCCCACGTGGGTGCAGGGACCCAAGCACCTGGGCATCTTCTACTGCTTTCCCAGGTCATAGCAGAGAGCTGGATCGGAAGTGGAGCAGCGCCGGCCCCCATCTGGTATTTCTTACAGGTGTTTTTAAGTGTGGTAGGTAAATTACAAAATAATTCCTGATTTTTCAGTCACAGCTTTTATGATGATCTTTAGATACTAGCCCTTTGGATACTGCCCATAGTGTTGTGACTAATGGGGTCATTGTGGTCAGGCAAGAGCACCTGGTGAGCATATATTAGCCTAGTATTCTATTCTCCTTGAGGGAGGACTCTATGGAAATTTTAAGGATTCATTTATTTACTTGAAAGGGGGTGAGGGCCATCTTCCATCTGCTTGTTCACTCCTCAGATGCCGGCAACAGTCAGGTCTGAGCCAGGCCTAAGCCAGGAGCCACCTGGGTGGCCAGAGTCCATCTTTCTCTGCCTTCCACGCTCATTGGCAGGAAGCTGACTTGGAGACAAAGCAGCGGGACTGTAACTGGTGCTCTGATACCAGTGGCATCGTGGTGACTTAACCCACTGTGCCACAATGCTAGTCCCCTAAATGACCACGTTTGGGTTAAGGAGAGCCTATCAAAATGTTTGTTGTCTAACTTGTGCTTTTTCAACTGAGTTTTGAATTAGTGAACATTGATTTCAGAGTTCAGCTTTAGAAGCAGTCAGTTGGTGTTTATTTGTTCACTCCCACAACCTCCCACCACACGCATCTTTTTCTTCACTCCCCTGAAGCTGCGTGAGGCCGTAGGGTACACGGCCTGCTCTCGTTCATCCTGGGGATTGCGTTGCCGAGCCTGTGGCCCTGAGGTGTCTGTCCACACTTCACAATAGCAGTGGTCTGTGCATTTAACTGAAAGGTGGAGACAGGCAGTGAGAGAGCTTCCATCTGCTGGTTCCCTTCCTAATGCACAACAGCTGGAGCCGGGTCAGGCCAAAGCCAGGTCCCCCGCGTGGGTGGCAGGGACCCACTGCTGAACCACTGGGTGCGCATTAGCAGGAAGCCTGCAGTGGGACAGAGCTGGGACCTGGACGTAGGTCCTGTGCTGTGGGGTGCTGGTACCCCACGCAGTGCCTTAGCGGCTGCACTGAACAGCTACTCCTTGTGTTTTGTCCACTCCTTGCTCACCTTGGAAAACCCGATGCATGGTTTATTTTTTCTCTCATTTTTGACTCTGGCATCAAGAATGCAGCTTCGGCAGCAGTGTCTGCGAGACAGACAGATTTCATAGATTACTTCTTTTCTGCCAAAACAGTTTTTCTTTTGCATTATTTGAAGTTAATGTTACCAAAAATTAAGCCCATTTAGAGGAATTATGGTTTTAATCCAAATGATAGAAAGTGGGAAGCTATTTCTATGGAAAATAAAAATCTGTGTCACTTGGAACTAGGTTGCGTTAGTTAACGTGGGGGGGGGGGTGGCAATAAGCCTCGCTGGGTGGTGGGAGCAGAGTGGGAGTGGGAGATAACTGTCTCCGGAGCCAGTTCAGCCACTTCCTGTTCTCTGCAAACCTTGGCTGGGAAGCAGTCTCCCTCCCTTGGCCCCTCTGTGCACTGTGTCTTTCTTAGGGCTCTTTAGCGTGTGGCGGGACAGAGTGTTGTGAGCCCCTGAACATGCACCTGCTCTGTGATTAGCATATGCGGAACCTCAGAGAGTTTGTGGAAAAAATGATTGAAAGATATTTATTTGGTACAAAAAACTTTTTAAGTACTCTTATATATGTTTTATTTCATTATTTGGTTAGAAGAGTAATATTTTTTCTTCTTTGTGTGTGTGTGTATAAGATGTATTCATTTATTTGAAAGGCAGGGAAAGACAGGGAGAGAGAATCCACTGGTTCTCTCCAGATGCCCACAGCTGGGTCAGGCCAAAGCCAGGGAGCTGGGAGCTCCATCCGGGTCTCCCACATGGCGGCAGGAGCCCAAGTACTTGGGCCTCATTGTCTCCTTGGCACATTAGCTGAAGTTGGGTTGGAAACATGGAGTAGCTGGGACTTGAACTGGGCCATCTGATATGGGACACGGGTTCCCAAATGTTGCTACAATGCCTGCCTCACTTCTTGGCTTTTGTGTTGTAATTTACAGAAGAGATATGTTAAATAACTGAGATTAGTAGAGAGGTATATAGATAAGGGAAAAAATAGGTGGGGAGGGTAGAACTCTTGTTTTAGTAACATAAGCAGTTTAATTAATGTTAGGGAGCCAGCACCCTGGGGTAGCGGGTCAAGCAGCTGCCTGAGCTGCCAGCATTCCATATGGGCGCTGGTTCATATCCCAGTTGCTCTCCACTTCTGAGCCGGCTCCCTGCTAATGACCTGGAAAAGCAGCGGAAGATGGTCCCAGTGCTTGGGCCCCTGTCACCCATGTGGGAGACCCAAATGAAGCTCCTGGCCTCTGGCTTTGACCTGGTCCAATTCTGGTCATTGAGGTCACTTGAAGAGTGACCCAGTGGATGGGAGACCTCTCTCTGTCTTTCCTTCTTTTTCTGTAACTCTTTTAAATAATGAAATAAATATTTTTAAGAAAGTCATAACTTTAGTGAACATATGTTACCTAACTTTAATGTATCCATAGTGAAAATGTCTATCCAAAAACTGCCTCTTGAATTTATCCCCTAAGTTAATCTATTTTTTTTGAAAGTTCTATTTATTTTCACTACATTTGAAAGATAGAGAACTCCCATCTGCTGTTTCCCTCCCCCAAGGGCTGGGGCCGGGCCAAGCCAGGGCTGGGACCCTGGAGCTCATTCCGGATCTCCCACGTGGTGTCAGGGACCCTGCGGCGTGAGCGTGCTGCCTCCTCCCAGAATGTGCATCAGCAGGAGGCTGGATCAGAAAGAGAGGAGCCAGGACTGCAACATCAGAAAGAGAGGAGCCAGGACTCCAACGAGGCACCCGGATGTGGGGCACAAGCATCCCAGGCAGCATGCTAACGGAGTTTATTACTGCATTCACTAGTCCTAGGCATGGCCCGCTGCTGCGTGACGTTTGTGTCACACCTGGGCTTACAGGTCTTGGGTAGGTTTCTAGCCTTGCCAGGGTGAATTCTTAGTTTCCTAAAGTACCTGACATCAAACCAGCCTCCTTCCTAACTTCCCTTGTGTAAACTTCTCTGGTCTGTGGACTCCTTTGGTGACCTCACACAGTCCTGTGACTTTTAATGCCACCAGGGACAGTTATTGTGTCACAGCTCTGGAACTCTGCCTGGGGTGCCAGCATCCCACACCCCAGTGCCTGATCTGGCTTCCTGCTAAGGTGCACCCTGGGAGTCGGCAGCTGATGGCTCAAGTATTTGGGTCTCTGACAACCCACGTTGGGATACCCATATGGGGTTCTGGGCTCCTTGGTTCCGCCTAGCCCAGACCCTGCTGTTGCAGGCATTTGGGGAGTGAGCCAGTTTTCTCTCTCTCCCTCCCTCACTTGCCCCGACCCTGCATGCACACGCACTCTGCTTTCAAACAAATAAAAATTATTTAAAATGCCGTATACATATACTGAAACTCATGAGTTTTTATAATCAACCTGGACCGCTCCCTAGGCTCAGCATCGCGTGGCCAGTTCCTGTTCCGCATTTTAGGGGGCTGTTCAGTGGCATTTCCACTCTGTCCGTGCCCCACATCTGTGCTTGCACCGCTCTCTTTACCAAAGCACAGCCATCCTTACGGTTGTTACAGTCAAGATCTTGGTCTCACTTGATGTTCATATTTCTCTACATGTACAGTCCATCAGGAATTAAAGAAGGGATTCCTGAGTAACCCACAGGTCAAAGAAGAGCTCACAGGGAAAATTAGAAAATGACTTGAATGGAATTAGAAAAGAGAGCATATCAAAATTCATGTGATGTAGCTGAACTGGACTAGAGGAGGGAAGTGTAGCACTGTTAGAAAAGGAGAAAGATCTTGGGGCTGGCGCTGTGTAGTGGGTTAAGCGTCTGCCTGTGGCGTCAGCATCTGGTATGGGTGCCAGTTCTAGTCCCGGCTGCTCCACTTTGATCCAGCTCCCTGCTGATGGCCTGGGAGAGCAGTGGAAGATGGCCCAAGTGTTTGGGCCCCTGCAACCAAGTGGGAAACCTGGAAGAAGCGCCTGGCTCCTGGCTTTGGATCGGCACATCTCTGGCTGTTGAGGCATTTGAGGGGTGAACCAGTGGACGGAATACCAACCTCTCTTATCTCTCCCTCTTTATGTCTGTGACTCTGCCTCTCAAATAAATAAATAAATCTTTTAAAAAAGAAAAAGAAAAGGAGAAAGATCTCAAATCATTCACTTAAGCTGCTGTTTTATGAATCCAAAAATGGAAGAACGAAACTATATCAAGGAAAGAAAGGAAATGAAGGTGAAGGTGGAAATCAATGAAAGAAATATAAAAACAGGCCGGCGCCGCAGCTCACTAGGCTAATCCTCTGCCTGCGGCGCCGGCACCCTAGGTTCTAGTCCCAGTTGGGGTGCCGGTTCTGTCTTCTTCCAGGCCAGCTCTCTGCTGTGGCCTGGGAGGGCAGTGGAGGATGGCCCAAGTGCTTGGGCCCTGCACCCCATGGGAGACCAGGAGAAGCACCTGGCTCCTGGCTTCGGATCGGTGCAGCTCACCAGCCGTAGCAGCCATTTGGGGGGTGAACCAATGGAAAAGGAAGACCTTTCTGTTTCTCTCTCTCTCTCTCTAACTCTGCCTGTCCAAAAAAAAATAAATAAATAAATAAAAAGTTTTAAAAAATATAAAAACAGCTGATCAATCAAACCAAAAGCTGGTGAATTGCTCGACTGACCAAGACAGAAGTCACAAACCCCAAATCAAGACTGGAAGAGGTCCCGCCATGCTGCTCTGGCTGGAGGTCTTTGGTTCTTAAAAAAAAAAAAAAGACTGAAAGAGAACCTGACTGCTGATTTTTTTTTTTTTTTGACAGGCGGAGTGGACAGTGAGAGAGACAGAGAGAAAGGTCTTCCTTTTCTGTTGGTTCACCCCCCCAATGGCCGCTGCAGCCAGTGCACCGCGCTGATCTGAAGCCAGGAGCCAGGTGCTTCTCCTGGTCTCCCATGGGGTGCAGGGCCCAAGGGCCTGAGCCATCCTCCACTGCCCTCCGGGGCCACAGCAGAGAGCTGGCCTGGAAGAGGAGCAACCAGAACAGAACTGGCACCCCGACCGGGACTAGAACCCAGTGTGCCGGCGCCACAAGCGGAGGATTAGCCTAGTGAGCCACGGCGCCAGCCCTGACTGCTGATCTTAAAGAAACTAAAGTAGATACTATAAACATTATGCCAACAAATTAGATAATTTAGGTCGAATTACAGATTCTTAGATAAATTACCGAAACTGACCCTAGAAAAATAGAAAATTTTTGTGGGAATTGGATGAGTAACTTAAAGTCTTCCCACAGAGAGAAGCTCAGGGCATCTGGTCTTCATTGGTGAATCCTGTCAACCATTCAAAGACCATCACAGACAGTTCTAGAAAATACAGGAGGTGGGAACACATCCTATCTGATTGTATGAGGCCTGTTACCAGGGCGCCAAAGCCAAAGCCATCCCAAGACCATAACCTGTAGTCCAGTATCCCTTCAGAATACAGAAGCAAACATGTTCAATAAAATAATAGGGGGCCAAGTCCAGCATCATAGAAAAAGGATTCTATAGCTTGACCAGGTGGGATTTATCCCGGAACTGGAAGATTGGATTAACATCTTAAAATCTTAATGTAACAAAATCTAGTGTGGTGGCACAGCGGGTTAAACTGCCGCTCTCAACATCACCCTCCCATATCAGAGCTCTGGTTTGCGTTCCAGCCGCTCTGTTTCTGATCCAGCTCTGGCTAATGTGGGCGGGGGGGGGCAGGGAATGGAGGCCCAGGTGGTCAGAGCCCTGCCATCCTCGTGGGAGACCCAGCTAGATCGCTGACTCTTGACTTTAGCCCGGACCAGACCCAGCCGTTGCAGCCACTAGAGGAGTAAACCAGCAGAAGGAAGATCCCCCCCCCAAATAAAAAAATCTTTAAAAAAAGAAAGATATAAAATCTGTTCATTTAGTTTGCTATAGTAATAAAGCACACAGCCACGTGATCATCAGCTCAGTAGACGCAAAAGAAGCAAACTCAGCATAGCAGATGCACTTGTGGGAGGGAGTGTCTTCCACTGATAGGGATATAGATGGAAACATGCAGAACACATAGGCTAGTTTCATTTCTAAAAAATTTATTTATTTGAAAGGCAGAGTGGCAGAGAGGCAGAGGCAAAAAGAGAGAGGTCTTCCATCCTCTGGTTCACTCCCCAACTGACCACAACGACCGGAGCTGCGCTGATCTGAAGCCAGGAGCCAGGAGCTTCTTCCAGGTCTCCCACGTGGGTGCAGGGGCCCAAGGACTTGGGCCATCTTCCACTGCTTCCCCAGGCCATAGCAGGGAGCTGGATCTGAAATGGAGCAGCCATGACTGGATCCAGTGCCCATATGGGACGCCAGCACTGCAGACAGCGGCTTTACCTGATATGCCACAGCCAGCCCCAAGTAGGTTAATTTCATACTTAAGGATGAACCACTCAATACCTCCTCTTAAAATTGAGAATAAGGAAAGAAAGTAAGTTACCTTCGATTCAACATTGTACTGGAATTGAAGGCCTGTGCAATCTGCTAAGAAAAATAATTTTAGAAAAGTATCTATGGGGCCAGTGCTGTGGTACAGTAGGTTAATCCTCCGCCTATGGCGCCAGCATCCCATGTGGGTGCCAGTTCTAGTCCCGGCTGCTCCTCTTCCAATCCAGCTCTCTGCTGTGGCCTGGGAAAGCAGTAGAAGATGGCCCAAGTGCTTGGGCCCCTGCACCCACATGGGAAACCCAGAAGAAGCTCCTGGCTCCTGGCTTCAGATCGGTGCTCGCTCTCTCTCTCTCTCTCTCTCTACCTATAACTCTGCCTCTCAAATAAACAAATAAAATATTTTTTTAAAATAGCATCTAGCTATCTAGAGTAGGAACAAGTAAACTATCATTATCCATAGATGACATGTCCAAGATGTAGAAAACCCTAAGAAACACACACACACAAAATACTAGAACTGCTAAACAAGTTCAGTGAGGTTGCAGGTACAAGCCCAATATTCAGACATTATCTGCGGGGTGGTACTGTGGTGCAGCAGGACGCCCTCATCCGACACCAGGATGCCTGGGTTGAGTCCCAGCTACCCCGCACTTCCAATCCATCTTTCTGCTAATGGACCCGGGAGGCAGTAGATGATGGCCCAAGTACTTGGATTCCTGCCACCCACATGGGAGTTCCTGGATGGAGTTCCTGGCTCAAGGCTTCAGCCTGGCCTCACCCTAGCTGTTGGGGAGTGAACCAGTAGGTGAAAGATCTCTTGAGTATGGGGTTGGCACCACGGTGCAGGGAGTTAAAGCCCTGGCCTGCAGTGCCGGCATCCCATATGGGTGCAGGTTCAAATCCCGGCTGTTCCACTTCTGATCCAGCTCCCTGCTAATGCACATGAGGGAGTACAAGCTGGCCCACATGCTTGGGCCCCTGCACCCACATGGAAAACCTGGAAGAGGCTCCTGGCTCCTGGCACCTGGCTTCGGATCAGCTCCGCTCCGCTGTTGAGGCAGCCATCTGGGGAGTGAACCAGTGAATGGAAGACCTCTCTCTGTCTCTTCCTCCCTCTGTCTGTAACACTGCCTCTCAAATAAATAAAGTTTTTTTCAAAAAAATAAAAAATAAAAGATTGTATGGGAGTATGTATCTTTTTTCTGTCACTTTGTCTTTCAAGTAATTATTTCCAAAAAATCATGTACATTTCCATTTATTTGCGGAAAATGATTTGAAAATGAAATTAAGAAAACTGGCTCATTCACTGTAGCAGCAAAAGGAACTAAATATTTGTTTCTGAATTTAACAGAAGTGAAGCATGTTTGCACTGAAAACTGCAACCCAGAGCTGGGGTAGAAAAGACGCAGGCCATGCCGTTGGGAGGCGTAGCCGCTTCCCCCAGACGACCTGTAGTCAGTGGGCTGTCAGAATCCCTTACGGCTTTCCCCCAGAAATTGGTAAGCTGATTCTAAAGTTTGTATAGGTATTCAAAAGACTTAAAATAACCAAAACAATTTGACAAATAAGAAAGTTAAAAGAGGGGCCGGCGCTGTGGCGAAGTAGGTTAATCCTCCGCCTGCGGTGCCAGCATCCCATGTGGGCACCAGTTCTAGTCCCAGCTGCTCCTCTTTCCATCCAGCTCTCTGCAGTGGCCTGGGAAAGCAATGGAAAATGGCTCAAGTCCCTGGGCCCCTGCACGCATGTGGGAGACCAGAGGAGGCTCCTGGCTTCTGGCTTTGGATCGGTGCAGCTCCAGCTGTTGGGGCCATTTGGGGAGTGAACCAAAGGATGGAAGACCTCTCTCTCTGTCTCTCCTTCTCACTGTGATTCTCTCAAATAAATAAAATCTTAAAAAAAAAAAAAAAAGTTAAAAGAAGGACTTGAAATTCCCATTTAAGAACATGTTATAAAACTGAAATAATGAAGACATTGTAGTACTGCTTAAGGAGACAAACAGGTCAGAATTGAGTGTTCCAGACCAAACCTTTATGTTGGTGGTGAATCGGTTTTTGAAAAAGTTGCCAGGGCCGGTACTGTAGCGCAGCGGGTTAATGCCCTGTCCGGAAGCACCGGCATCACATATGGGTGCTGGTTCAAGACCCAGCTGCTCCTCTTCCGATCCAGCTCTCTGCGGTGGCCTGGGAAAGCAGTGGAAGATGACCCAAGTGCTTGGGAACCTGCACCCACGTGGGAGACCCCGAGGAAGCTCCTGACTCCTGGCTTCAGATCAGCACAGCTCCAGCTATTGCAGCCATCTGGGGAGTGAACCAGCAGATGGAAGACCTCTCTCTCTCTCTCTCTCTCTCTCTCTCTCTCTCTCTGTGTAACTCTGACTTTCAAATAAAATCTTTAAAAAAAAAAAAAAGAAAAAGTTGCCAAGGCAGACTGGCGGGGAAAGTATAATCTTTCCAATAAATGGTGCTAGGACAATTGGACTTCTGCATGCAAGTGTGTTCCCAAGAATGAATCTTATCTAAAATTCATAACGATTTAAAATTCACAGTTCTGTAGAGTTCCCAGAAAAGAGATGGGTTGTGATTTACTGAAATCAGACCATTGTGGGCCTTAGAGAAAACCAGGACTGTGCTTTCCAGCGTAGGAAATGGGGAAAGGAGAGACAACTTGTAAAACAGATTAGTAGGCCGGCGCCGCGGCTCACTAGGCTAATCCTCCGCCTAGCGGCGCCGGCACACCGGGTTCTAGTCCCGGTCGGGGCGCCGGATTCTGTCCCCGTTGCCCCTCTTCCAGGCCAGCTCTCTGCTGTGGCCAGGGAGTGCAGTGGAGGATGGCCCAGGTGCTTGGGCCCTGCACCCCATGGGAGACCAGGAGAAGCACCTGGCTCCTGCCATCGGATCAGCACGGTACACCGGCCGTGGCGGCCATTGGAGGGTGAACCAACAGCAAAGGAAGACCTTTCTCTCTGTCTCTCTCTCTCACTGTCCACTCTGCCTGTCAAAAAATAAAAAAAAATAAAAATAAAAAAAACAGATTAGTAGACGTGTTTATAAAATTCATGTTGCCAGAGAAAGGCAAATTCTAGAAACCAGCTTAAAAAAAAAAAAAAAAACCAGAACACTTGACTTGGCGAAACTGAAACGATGCTAAGGAGGCCCAGAAAATCCGTCTCCACTGATCTGATGCTGATGGCGTGAAAGTGGGCACAGAGATGGGAACGAGGCTTGTCAGAAGACCTAGTTACTCTGGAATCCTGGTGAGATGCGTTTTGGCATCTGTGTCCGTAAGCCGCACATGCTAAGGCACAGCACTCAGCAGATGTTGGTGTGTATGGGCTGTGGCGCCACTGCAGCAGCAGGGGAGTGAGCGCGCCCGGGCTTAATTCTGAAGCGCGCTTTATTGAGGGAGGGCGAGGCAGTGCAGTAGAAGGGGAAAGAGGTAGCATTTTTAAAGTGGGACACCACAGAGATGGTGGTGGAGAGAAGGGGGTTCTTCCCTGGTACTTTTCCTGGAAAGACCATTACATTTAACAACTTCTAAAATATTTGTCATTCTAGTAGGAAGACAGTCAGCTCTTAAATACTGTTTAATCATTTGTCACCACAGTTAGGATGCTGGTTGGGATCCCTGCATCCCAAATCGGAGCGCCTGAGTTCTAATCCCGGCTGCACTCCGGGTTCCTGGTTCCAGCGTCCTGCTCATGAGCGCCTTGGGACGCAGCAGGGCGGCCAGATAGCTGGGTCTCTGCCACCCCCTGGGGATTGGCGGTCAGGAGACTTCTCCGTCTCGCCATCTTTCAAGTAAACGTTTAAAAAATATGTTTTATTTGTTTGAAAGACATAGTGACATGAGAGTTCTTCCACCTGCTGATTCATTTCACAAGTGCCTTCAACAGCCAGGGCTGTGCCAGGCCAAAGCCTGGAGCCCAGATTGCATCCGGGTCTCCCACACTGGGGCAGGGACCCAGGTGCTTGCGCCATCACCTGCGTCCTCCCAGGTGTGCACCAGTAGGAGGCTGGATCAGAAGCAGAGGTGGGCGCTCTCATGGAATGCAGGCGTCCCACACAGCATCTCAGCACTGTGCAGCAACGCCGCCCTCGAAATGTTTTAAAAATTAATTCAGAATTAATATTACTTAAGCTTTTCCCTCTTTTGAGTAAAGTTGGTACATTTGAAAAAATACAGGAAAGCATTGGGGTTATGAAACTTACAGACTTTATAGGCAAGTTTCAGCAACAAAAATGGGAACCAACACATGATTTCTGTCTTTATTTTTTAAAAAAGATTTATTTATTTGAAAGGCAGAGTGACAGAGAAAAGGAGGGAGGGTGGGAGGCAGGGAGAGAAACCGTGAAACCTTCCATCCGCTGGTTTACTCCCCAGTGGCTGCAGCGGCCAGGCTGAGCCAAGAAGCCAAGAGTCAAGAACTCCACCTGGATCTCCCACGTGCGTTGGCGGGGCCCAGGCGCTTGGGCCATCTTCCATTGCTCTCCCAGGCTGGAACAAAAGCTGAGCAGTCGGGACACACAGCGATGTTCTGATAGCGGGATTGCGGGCAGCATCCTAACCCTGCATCACAGCCCCACCCCCCACCCCACTGCCATCTTTTAATCTTGACAAGACGACATTTCGGTGAAAACCACCACCATCTACTTGTATCGTTCCTTTAAAGAGCATTCTCACACAAAGTGGAAGATAAAATGAGTAAATTTAACTGAAAAAATGTACTTTTATCATCCTTACATTAAAAAAAAAAAGATTTATTTGAAAGGCAGAGTTACAGAGAAGCAGAGAGAGAGAGAGAGAGAGAGAGAGGTCTTCCATCCACTGGTTCACTCCCCAGTTGGCCTCATCGGCCGGAGCTGCACTGATCAGAAGCCAGGAGCTTCTTCCAGGTCTCCCACGTGGGTGCAGGGGCCCAAGCATGTGGGCCATCTTCTACTGCTTTCCCAGGCCATAGCAGAGAGCTGGATTGGAAGTGGAGCAGCTGGGGCGTGAACCGGTGCCCACAGGGGATGCCCGCACTGCAGGCGGCGCCCTTACCTGCTACACCACAGAGCTGGCCCCGTCATCTTTACTTTCCTCATGATATCACTGGTAGCCAGGCTGTGAGGACCGCTGCTGTAAGTGTAGTCCTAGAAGCTCTCAGAGTCGGGGTAGGTGTCTTGGATTCGCCACCCCTTCTCTGAGTTTTGCTCAGCTCCCACAGGCTTCCTGTAAGGACAAAATGAGAGACTGGATAAGCTGTTCACTTCTCAGACACGCGCTGTCTTCCTTATACTCAGCAAATGTGCAGCCTGCTCCTCACTGTCACACGCTTGCTCGGTAATTAACTGTATTACCGTGTTGCTCGTCACTGTGATTTCAGAGGAGTGACTCCAGTCTAGAGAGTGCCGTTGCTTTCTGTCGTAGATAGAACGGTAATTGCTTCGGTGTGATTGTAAGGTGGGGGAAGCAGGTCGTTTTATCCTGAAAACAGCCATAAATGCTGCTATATTAAATTGTTGCTTGAACAAAAGGTGTGGGACGGCAGTTGCTTTTGTATTCTTTGTAAAGAGAAGCAGGATTTGTTCTTTGATGACCAGATTGTCCCTCTGATTTCTGAATTTCCCTGAGAAGCCTCAGCCAGAGTTCCAGCACTGCTTACAAACCTCTCTGTGACGTGGGCTGCAGCCTTGTCATCGCTGCAGGCAGTCACTCAGGTAAAGCTTGTACCTGGCGAGATCGGATACCGACGAAACATAGTTACTTAGTCACTTTGTAAAGTTCCCCCTCCCTCCATTTTAAAGATATGTTAAAAAGAAAAAAGAATAGAATGCTTACAGGTTTCTGCTTGACATACAAATTGTGTGAATGATTGTAGGACAGGTATCCCGGGTAGGATCTAATGGTACTTAGATTTTTCTACCCTTTGTAATGATTCTGTGTACATTTTCTTTCTAGTACTAGGTTACAGACTCCTTGAGAACAAGATTCATGTTGAATTTATCTTTTATGAAACTTGGTTTATTGATTTATACATGGAGAACACTCAGCCCATAGTGCTTGGTTGATTGAAAACTAATCTTCATGTACATTAGATTTCTATGCTGATTTCTGCTGACATCAGTTCTCCAAAGTTTGGTGAGAATGGGATGATGAAGAAAATACAGTGAACACGGGCGGTGCCGCGGCTCAATAGGCTAATCCTCCGCTTACGGCGCCGGCACCCCAGGTTCTAGTCCCGGTCGGGGCGCCAGATTCTGTCCTGGTTGCCCCTCTTCCAGTCTAGCTCTCTGCTGTGGCCCGGGAAGGCAGTGGAGGATGGCCCAAGTGCTTGGGCCCTGTACCCCATGGGAGACCAGGATAAACACCTGGCTCCTGGCTTCGGATCAGCGCAGTGCGCTGGCTGCAGCAGCCATTGGAGGGTGAACCAACGGCAAAGGCAGACCTTTCTCTCTGTCTCTCTCTCTCTCACTGTCCACTCTGCCTGTCAAAAAAAAAAAAAATACAGTGAACAATAATATCCCATTTTCAGTTCCATTAATAGTTTTCCCAGACTTCCAGAGCCTAATTTTATTTATTTATTTATTTATTTGTTTATGTGTGTGTGTGTTTGAAAGACAGAGGTAGAGAGAAAGAGAGAGATATCTTCTGTTTGCTGGTTCACTCCAGCTGGGCCAGGCTGAAAGCAGGAGCTAGGAGCTTCTTCAGGGTCTCCACATGGGTGCAGGGGCCCGAGCACTTGGGTCATCTGCTGCTGTTTTCCCAGTAGCATTAGCAGGGAGCTGGACTAGAAGTGGAGCAGCCAGGACTGAAACTGGTGCCAACACTGCAGGCCGAGGCTTAACCTTCTACGCCACAGTGCTGGCCCCTAATTTTATTTCTGAACAGATTTTTTTTTTTTTTTTTTTTTTTTTTTTGGAAAGCATAGTTTCAGAGAGATTGATCTTTCATCCACCAGTTCACCAATTCACTCCCCAAATAGCCAAAAGATCTGGGCCTGGCATGGCCAAAGCCAGGGGCCCAAGCACTTGGGCCATCTTCTGCTGCTTTCTAGCAAGGAGATGGATTGGAAGCAGAGCAGCCACGACTGGGCCCAGGACTCCAGTATGCGAGCGGGAGGTGGCGTACCCCACTGTGCCACGATGCCGGCCCCTAGTGTCTAATTTTAAAATCAGGGGTAATGAAAAGCAGTTCCTTGTCTCAGAGACAGTAGATATTTATTATGATACAGTACAAAGCAGAAAGCCCAACTTGTTAGGTTAAAGGAAGCCAACATTTATTGGCCCCGACTTTGTGTTAGGACGGTGTCTTTGAAGCAGTCGCAGGTTCCTTTGAGAACCCAGAAAGCCTGAGCATAATAAGAAGACATCTTGGTTATATAAAATTTACCTGCAAATAACTTCTCCTTTTCAAATGTTTATACCTTTTATATTGTGTAAATTGCCTTAGAACTTAAACAAGAGGGATAGCTATACAATTTTTTATGAAGCTAGCACAATTATGAAACCAAAAACATGAAAGTGACAGGAAGAAAGCCAGCTTTAGGTTTTTGTCAGATAATGTGAGCGTCTTGGATGATTTGTCAGAAAGTGTGACTCATTGGTACTGATATTTATGAAGTTTATTTCTAAAGAGAGCTGGAGACGAGTGCAGCAGCATATTAAAGCGATAGAGTCTAGACCCAGTGAGTTCATGCTGTTAACGTCCAACACTGTAGTAGACGGAGAAAGAGGATTCCTGAGATTACCCCAGTTGCTATCTGGAAAGTCATCCAGTCAAATTTAGTATTTTTGGACTCCTGCTTCTGGCCAAGCCAGACTGCTGACCAACGCTGTCACCAAGAACTAAAAATTTTAGGAAGATGATAAAAAAAAAAAAAAAAAAAAAAGGCAACATTTGAAGACGTTGGATGCCAGCAGGGCTTTAAGGATTTTGAGGGGCCCAGTTCCTGGAGAGAAGGGAGGCTGAAGAGATGGGATCAGCACTGGTGCACGGGAGCCAGCCGGGGCGTTGCAGCCCAGGCGCTGTGCCGAGGGCTGAGCAGAGAGAGTGGGGCTCTCAGCGGAGTTGGAGAGTTCAGGGGTAACAAGGGGGCAATGACCCCGGTGGGAACACCCCTCCCCAAGAGGAAGAAACACGACTTTTTGCCCTAGGCACATGGTGAACCTAAAGATGATTCTGAAATCCAGCCCTCACAGAAATAGACTTCATTTTGAATCAGCTGATGCAAATTAAAGCTGGGGGAGGCGTTTGGCACAGGGGTGACTGCTGCCTGGGAATCCTGCCCCCAGATTGGACTGCTGGCTCCTCCTCCAATTCCAGCTTCCCTCTACTGCACCCTCTGAGGCAGCCAGGGATGGCCCCACCCCTTGGGCCCCTGCCACCCACGTGAGAGACCCAGATTGAGTTCCTGGCTCCTGGCTTTGGCCTGGCCCAGCCCCGGCAGTTACAGGCATTTTGGCAAGTGAACCAGCAGAGGGGGGAGTCAGGCACTGTGAGCGTCTCTCTCGTGAGCAGCTGGCTTCGCCGGAGGGCTCGTCAGGCACAGGCACAGGCGACTCCTCCCTGTCTCTGTGCGTCCACAGGTGACGCAGGGGAGCTCTGTGACACTCTCACTCTCTGTAACTCTGCCTTTCAAATACATGAACCAGTCTTTAAAAACAAGTCAGTGAAGGCACAGCGGCGAGGTCCAGCCTGCTGTTCAAGACGCCCGTGTCTGGTACCTGAGTGCCTGCTAACATGACCCGCAGAAGCAGTGGTAGTGGCTCAAGTGGTTCGGACCCTGCCATGCACGTGGGACACCTGGGCTGAGGCCCCCTCTGTGCTTCAGCCCAGTCCTGCATGTTGTACTGTGGAGGACGGGTCACTCTACGACTGTGTGTCTGTCTGTCTCTCTCTCTCTCTCTCTCTCTCCACACCTCTCAAGTTAAAAAAATAAAAAAATAACCACCTTTGCTGGCTAACAAATCTGTGTTCAGATGACTGCTGTGGTTTCTAATTCTTGACTACTACGATTGCTAAGACTCCTCCTAACAACAATATTTATCTACTTAAATATTACCCTCTAGGTCCAGGCCAACTGAATAAGACAGATGTGTGGGTTTTCCATTTGCTGTATGACGGGTCACCACAACCTTGGAGATTCAAAAAGCAGATAATGTTAGTCCACAGTCTGCAGGCCGGAGGCTGGCGTGGGGTGACTGGGTGTCTGTCTGTGACGCTGAACAGCCGGGGTCAAGGTGTGAGCAGGCTCTGTGGAAGAATCAGCTTCCCAGCTTGTTTGCAGACCCCAGCTCTTGGCCGGCTGCCGGTGGAGCGGCTCTCAGCGCCTTGACGCAGCTGCGCTCCGTGCTTCCTGCTCGTCGTCTCCAAACCAGCAGCTGTGTGCCCACGCTTTCTTAGGCTTCAGCTTTCGAGACCATCTCTCTCCGACCTCTAAGCTGAGATTTAAGGTCACCAAGCCTACCTGGATGGTGTATCTGACTTGGGATTTGAGTTACATATTTTAAAATACCTTCAAAACAGTACCTGAATTTGTTTGATTGAATATGCGGGAGAGGGTATGTTGACTGTGGACTTGGACTCTTGGAGGGGTCTTAGAATTGTGCCTGCTGGGGCCTGGCGCTGTGATGTCGCGGGTAAAGCTGCTGCCTGGGACTCTGCTGCCCCACGTGGGGTGTTCCTGCTGCTCCAGTTCCAATCCGTCTCCCTGATAATGGCCTGGGAAGCAATGGAAGATGGCCCATGTATTGGGACCTGTGCACCCACATGGGAAACGCAGATAAAACTCCTGGCTCCTGACTTCAGCTTGGCCCTGAGCTGGCCATTGTGGCCATCTGGGGAGTAAACCAGCAAATGGAAGATTCTCTCTCTCTCTCTGTAACTCTGACTTTCAAAATAAATGAATAAATCTTAAAAGGGGGGGGGGGGGCAGCACTGTAGCGCAGTGGGTGAACACCCTGGCCTGAAGTACTGGTATCCCACATGGGTGCTGTTCGAGACCCGGCTGCTCTACTTCTGATCCAGCTCCCTGCTGTGGCCTGGGAAAGCAGAAGATGGCTCAAGTCCTCAGGCCCCTGCACCCACGTGGGAGACCCAGATGGAGCTCCTGGCTCCTGCCTCTAGCCTGGTCCAGCCCTGGCTGTTGGGTGCATGTGGGGAGCGAACCAGCAGATGGAAGATCTTTCTCTGTTTCTCTTCCTCTCTGTCACTCTTTCAAGTAAATAAATAGATAAATCTTTTAAAAATTAATTTGTAGGTTTAAAACAATTATAATTTTTAAAAACATTTTTTCTTTTAGAACAAATAATGACTCATTTCATCCAGAAGGGTGAGGACAATCGGGAGAAAACTTTTGAGGTGATGAAAGGAAACTGGTGGTGGCAGAATTCTGAGACTTCAATGCTTGAAGCTTCTTCCAGGTCTCCCACGTGGGTGCAGGGGCCCAAGGACTTGGGCCATCCTCCACTGCTTTCCCAGGCCATAGCAGAGAGCTGGATTGGAAGAGGAGCAGCCGGACTCCACTGGTGCCCATATAGGATGCCGGTGCTGCAGGGGGAAGATTAGCCCATGACACCATAGCGCCAGCCCTGAATATTAAATTTTATAAAAATAATTATTTCAGGGGCCGGTGCCATGGCTCACTTGGTTAATCCTCCACCTGCGGTGCTGGCATCCCATATGGGTGCCGGATTCTAATCTAGGCTGCTCCTCTTCCAGTCCAGCTCTCTGCTGTGGCCTGAAACACATTTCGCACGTTTTACATCTCCAGAATTGCTGTTTGCCTTACATCCAGTGGGACGCGTATAGCAGGGCGTGATCGGCAGCATTTCTTTCTTAGTGATGCACAGAAGCACTGTGCGTCGTCTGTCTGAGGCGTCTTAGGTTGGGTAGAATGCAGTGCTTTGTAGCAGGTCCACCTGGAAGGGCCGCTGTGTAGCTGTGCCGCGCCGTCGTCCTGCAGGAATGGAGGTCCTTCTGCGGCTGCGTAGGCAGTTGGTGCCGCCTTCTCCTTTGAGAAGCCCTACCCAAGTGCTTCTGGTCATGCTCCGTGGAGTCCAAGCTTATGTATCATTCGGTCACCTAACACACAAGCTCAGATGTGTGTGTATACGCATCGCTTTGTTTCAGAAGAGTCACCCTGTATTGGGGACGTCTGCAGAAGCGGGCCGGTGCCCCGGCCCAGAGTCGCCATTAGCCCCAGAACGCATCCTCATCTTCCTGCGGGAAGAAGCTTCACTGAGTGCATCTGGAGCCCTCTCCCAGCCTCCCTGTGTGGGGCCGTGGGTGAGGGAAGACCCTGCAGACCTCCCAGATCCCTGTGTGGGGCCGTGGGTGTGAGGGAGACCCTGCAGACCTCCCAGCCTCCCTGTGTGGGGCCGTGGGTGTGAGGGAGACCCTGCAGACCTCCCAGCCTCCCTGTGTGGGGCCGTGGGTGTGAGGGAGACCCTGCAGACCTCCCAGCCTCCCTGTGTGGGGCCGTGGGTGTGAGGGAGACCCTGCAGACCTCCCAGCCTCCCTGTGTGGGGCCGTGGGTGTGAGGGAAGACCCTGCAGACCTCCCAGCCTCCCTGTGTGGGGCCGTGGGTGTGAGGGAGACCCTGCAGACCTCCCAGCCTCCCTGTGTGGGGCCGTGGGTGTGAGGGAGACCCTGCAGACCTCCCAGCCTCCCTGTGTGGGGCCGTGGGTGAGGGAAGACCCTGCAGACCTCCCAGCCTCCCTGTGTGGGGCCGTGGGTGAGGGAAGACCTTGCAGACCTCCCAGCCTCCCTGTGTGGGGCCGTGGGTGTGAGGGAGACCCTGCAGACCTCCCAGCCTCCCTGTGTGGGGCCGTGGGCGTGAGGAAGAACCTGCAGACCTTCCAGCCGTGGACTGGAGAGGCGGGAGGGCGGCCGGCGGGAGGGCGCTTAAGCCACCAGCTGAGATGTACTCGTTCCATCCGAGTGTCTGGACTCGAGCCCCAGCTCTGCCCCGCTTCTGTCTTGCTGCTGACGCACACCCTTCGAGGAGCAGATGACGGCTCAGGTCGTTGGGTTCCTGCCACTCATGTGAGAGACCTGGAATGAGTGTTAGATGCCCAGCTCCAGCCCAGCCCTGGCCCTTACAGGCATTCGGGGAGGGAGCCAGCAGGTAGGAGCACTCTTGTATCTGTCTGTCTCCCCCCATCCTACTCCCTCCCTCCCTCCCTCCCTTTCAAATAAATAAAAGTAAAATGTAAAAGAAATTTAAAGGCTTTTTAAAATATGTATTTGTTTATTTGAGAAGCAGAGTTACAGAGGGAGAGACAGAGAGGTCTTCCGTCCGCTGGTTCACTCCCCAAATGGCTGCAACAACTGGAGCTGGGCCAATGCAAAGCCAGGAGCCAGGAGCTCCTTCCCAGTCTCCCACGCAGGTACAGGGTCCAAGCACTTGGGCCATCTTCTGCTCTTCCAAGCCACTAGGGAGCTGGATTGAAGGTGGAGCAGCCATATGGGATGCTGGTGCCACAGCCCCGGCCCCAAGAGCATGCACTCTTTGGGGGTGCTGTGTAGTATGGCGGATGCGGTGAGTGACATTTGACTGACAGTTCAGTCACTGTGTGAGCACATGTGGCCTTGAAGGCTCAGGTGGTGTCCATTCCAACAAGGTTGCTTTGAGGAGTGACTGAGATCATGGATCTCAATGATCTGCACAGCCCAGTGCCTAGTAAGTTACAGTTCTTGCTGCCCTTGGGTTTTCCAGAGACTGCGTAACTCGATGCTGGCTGCTTGCTTGTATGTGTTTCCACTGGAACTTGGTATTTATGGAGGATTCTTTGATTGTCTAAGTTTTGTCTTTGGATTAAGCAAGACCATCAGAAACCTTCACACTTGGACTGTCTCTGGCTGTCCAGAGAACTGCTGAGTTTTCCCATCGGGCTTTTTGACTCGCAGGAGGCTGCGAGAGCGCGTCTAGTAAAGCCGCCACTGCAGATTTGAGGGCCTCAGCGTCGCTGTCTGGGCAAGAGCGCGTCGCCTGTGCATCCGCCGCTCTGAGGACGGAGGCTGTCGTGAGGGTGATCTGGTAAACTGCTAGTTGCTTCCCCGATAGGGCAGATTGTAAGTCAGTGCCCTACACGTATGAACCCGTTACTAGACCTGATTCTGCTCAAGTCTTGGGAGAGGTAAACTCTAGGTGTAATATTGTAAGAAATCAGGGTAGGCATTGTGGCGTAGTGGCTAAGCTGCTGCTTGGAGAGCCTGGGTCAAGCCCCGGCTCCTCTCGTTCCCACCCGGCTCCCGGCTGATGCGCCCTGGGAGGCAGCAGTGAGGGCGCAAGCACTTGGGCCCCTGCACCCACGTGGCAGACACAGATGGGGTTCATGACTGCTGGCTTCAGCCTGGCCCAGCCCTGCTGTTGCCACCATCGGAGGAGTAAGCCAGAGATGGAAAGTCGATCAACTGATCTCTCTCTCTCTCTCTCTCTCTCTCTCTCTGCCTTTAAATAAAATGAAAACAAATAAAAATTTAGAAAACAAATCAATCAAAATGATGGCAGTTAGCAGGATGTACTTTATGACAGTCTTAGGAAACATTTGCTTTTTGAAATTGGTGCCTGGACATGGGGCATGCAGTACATACAGCCTACACACTGTGAGTATTACAGTTGTTCAAAGGGGCCGGTGCTGTGGCGTAGCGGGTAAAGCCGCCGCCTGCAGTGCCAGCATCCCATATGGTGCCGGTTCGAGTCCCGGCTGCTCCACTTCCCATCCAGCTCTCTGCTGTGGCCTGGGAAAGCAGTGGAAGATGGTGCAAGTTCTTGGGCCCCTGCACCTGCGTGGGAGACCCGGAAGAAGCTCCTGGCTTTGGATCAGCGCAGCTCCAGCCATTGTGGCCAACTGGGGAGTGAACCAGTGAATTGGAAGACCCCTCTGTCTGTCTCTCTGTCTCTGTCTCTCTCTCTCTGCCTCTTCTCTCTCTGTGTAACTCTGACTTTAAAATAAATAAATAATTTTTTTTTAAAAAACAAGTTGTTAAAAGGCGGGAAGTAGCTTAAAAAGTAGAAAGGGCAGTTTGTGACTCTAAAGGGGCGGGATGGGGGGGGGGGGTTCCGCGGCCCAGCGGTTGGTGTGCTGTTCCTGATTGCTGAGGGAGGGGCTAGCTCCTGAGCCTAATTGTGTCATAACAGTGCAGCCCATAACAGCATAACAGGACACTTTTCTCTAATCAAGTAGTTCCTCCAGGATTTCTGTCGGGACTTTTTTTTTCTTTTTTTTGCAATCTAAACTTGGTATAGGTTTGAAAATAAAATTTTTCTATAATTTGTATTTTTCAGATAAGTTTTCTTCCTCAATGCTGAAATAAGAGTTTTCATATTTCACATTTTTATGAGACATATCAACAAACCTCTTAGTATCTGTGTGTTTTTCCTGCAACAATATAATTTGTCAAATTTTTTTCTATTTAGGTCAACATTTGAGTGCTTTATCAGCTTATTACTCTAATATGTACATTTTTTTAAAAAGATTGATTTATTTATTTGAAAGGCAAGGTGATAGGCAAAGAGTCAACCATCTGCTGGTTCACTCCCCAAACACCCACAACAGCCAGGGCTGGCAAGCCAGAGCCAGGAGCTCCACCTGGATCTCCCCTGGGTGGCAGGAACCCAACTACTTGGGCAGTTGTCTGCACTCCCAGTTGCATTAGCATAAAACTGAATGGAAGGTGGAGGTAGGGCTCAAACCCAGGCACTCTGATGTGGAATGCAGGCATCCCAGATCACTACACACCCCGGCACCTCAGCACGAACCCTTGAAGCAGCCTCTCCCCTTATCCTTGCGTGAAACCCCGGGCTTCACAGATGTCTTGGGGCCAAGGGGCGAGTGGATGATGGTGTCAGGAGGCTCTGCCCAGCCCTGGCACACATGCCTGTTCTACATTAGATCGCAGCTTTGGGCATGCGTTAGCGTAGTGGCTCCTGGAGCTGAGCCCACTCCGCTGACCGTGCTTCCAGCTCGCAGAATCACAGAGACTGAAGGAAGCGTGACAGAGACCCTCTGCAGCCCAGCTCTCACCCTGCTGGGCCCCAGGCCCTTCCCTCACCTCAGGGGCTAGTCACTGCTCAGCGTGCATGCTGCTGGCACGCCGTCCTTTTTCCTTCATGACCATCTCTCAAGTTGCCCCAGTACTCTAAAGCTGGTGGAATGTAAAGCTGTCGTGAAGGTAAAAGAAAGTACTGTTGGGGCCGGCACTGTGGTGCAGCAGGCAGAGCTGCCGCCTGCAGCGTCGGCATCCCACGTGGGTGGTTCAAGTCCCAGCTGCTCCACTTCCGATCCAGCTCCCTGCTATGGCCTGGGAAAGCAATAGAGGATGGTCCAAGTTCTTGGGCCCCTGCACCCACGTGGGAGACCTGGAGGAGGCTGCTGGCTCCTGGCTTTGGATTGGCTCAGCTCTAGCCATTGTGGCCATTTGGGGAGTGAACCAGCAGATGGAAGACCTATCTCATTCCCTACCTCTCTCTGTAACTGTCTTTCAAATAAAAAAAAAATCTTAAAAAAAAAACAAACATCATTTGTGGGCCATACAAAATCACCAGTTTGAAGACTGGCCTGTTGGAGATTTGGTGAATTCTGAGTCCCACCTGCAGCTGCCGTGGCAGGGCCAGGCCAGGTGATTTGTGGGCCGTGTGTAGCTGTGACGTTCCCCGCCCCTCAGGCACATCTATGAATTGTATTTATGCTTGTGTGACAGTATTAAGCAGTCTCCATTTTACTGGCAGATTTGAAAGAGGCTCTAATGTTAGTGTCCTCACGCAGGAGAGCGAGCCTGTGCAGTAGTGAGAATGGGGAGAGTTTGCTACGAAGAATCCCTGGAGTGGGCATTTGGCACAGCCATTAAGAGGCCGCTTGGGATGCCTGCATCCCCAACACAGTGCCTAGGTTCAAGCTTCGTCGTCTTCTTTTTTTTTTTTTTTAGTTAATTAATTTATTTGAAAGAGTTACAAAGAGAGAGAGAGAGAGATCTTCCATCTCCCCAATTGGCCACTCTGCAATTGGCCACAACGGCTAGAGCTGAGCCATTCTTGAGGCCAGGAGCCGGGAGCTTCTTCCAGGTCTCCCACATGGGTGCAGGGGCCCAAGCACTTGGGTCATCTTCCACTGCTTTCCCAGGCCACAGCAGAGATCTGGATGGGAAGTGGAGTAGCCGGGTCTCGAACCTGCGCCCATATGGGATGCCGGCGCTTCAGGCCAGGGCTTTGACCCGCTGCACCACAGCGCCAGCCCCAGAACTTCTGCTTCTAATCCAGCTTCCTGCTGCAGCACAACCTGGGAGGCGCAGGCAATGCTCAATTACCTGGGTCCCTGCCGCCCACATGGGAGACCAGCCTGAGCCCCAGCTCCTGGCTTTGGCCTGGCCCGGCCCTGGCTGTTGACCGGCATTTGAGGAGTGAACCAGTGGGTGGGGGATCTCTGACTCTGTCTCTGTCCATCTGACTCTCTCCATGTCTGTCCCTCTGCCCTGATGAATCAAACAATAAATGCGTAAATGATTGTTTTAATTATTAACTGTAACAAGGACTTAGAGTAATAAGGGACTGGTTAGTGAGAAGCAAAGGAAACAGGAGATTATAGCAATAGCAGAAATAAGGTGCATTCCTGCCCAGGCCCAGAGGGAGCACCCAAAGACAGCCTCCAAGGCTAAGGCCCGGGCCGCACGGGAGCCGCCACAGCCGTGGCTCAGGGGGCGGCAGGGAAGCTGCTGTGGTGCTGTGTAGACAGAGCTCGCTGGGAACCCTTCAGCTGTAGTGGAAGTGTCCAGCCAGGTGCCACCTGCCCAGGCCTGCCTGGCCCAAAAACCCTTCTCCTGCATGCCTCTCCAGTGCCCTCTGCTGAGAGAGCAGTGTGCTGGCAAGCAAAAATTGTTAAAGGTCTTAGGTGGATTTTACAGAACTGGTAAACCGTGAAGTCTGGCGCCAAGAGGCAGTAAATCAATAAGCAGCGCCCCTCCGCCACCTCCAGCTTCATCAGTTGCTGCAAGTGGACACTGAGGGGGAAACAGTGCACTGCCTGCTTTCACATTCTGTAGCGAAGAATGGAATCTTCGTCACTGTCAACCACTCGGCGTGTCCACTAGGACAGCTGCGTCTGTGCCACGGCGTGTCCGCTAGGACAGCTGTGTCTGTGCCACGGCGTGTCCCCGCTAGGACAGCTGTGTCTGTGCTACAGCGTGTCCCCACTAGGGCAGCTGTGTCTGTGCCATGACGTGTCCCCGCTAGGACAGCTGTGTCTGTGCCACGGTGTGTCCCCGCTAGGACAGCTGTGTCTGTGCCACGGCGTGTCCCCGCTAGGACAGCTGTGTCTGTGCCACAGCGTGTCCCCGCTAGGGCAGCTGGGTCTGTGTCACGGAGTGTCCACTAGGACAGCTGTGTCTGTGCCACGGCTTGTCCACTAGGACAGCTGTGTCTGTGCCATGACGTGTCCGCTAGGACAGCTGTGTCTGTGCCACAGCGTGTCCACTAGGACAGCTGTGTCTGTGCCACAGCGTGTCCCCGCTAGGACAGCTGTGTCTGTGCCACGGCGTGTCCCCGCTAGGACAGCTGTGTCTGTGCCACGGCGTGTCCCCGCTAGGACAGCTGTGTCTGTGCCACGGCGTGTCCCCGCTAGGACAGCTGTGTCTATGCCACGGCATGTCCCCACTAGGACAGCTGGGTCTGTGCCACGGCGTGTCCCCACTAGGACAGCTGGGTCTGTGCCACAGCGTGTCCCCACTAGGACAGCCGGGTCTGTGCCATGGCATGTCCGCTAGGACAGCCGGGTCTGTGCCACGGCGTGTCCGCTAGGACAGCCGGGTCTGTGCCACGGCGTGTCCGCTAGGACAGCCGGGTCTGTGCCACGGCGTGTCCGCTAGGACAGCCGTGTCTGTGCCACGGCGTGTCCTCTAGGACAGCTGTGTCTGTGCCACGGCGTGTCCGCTAGGACAGCTGTGCCTGAGAGCCAGCTGGAAATTTTCTTCTGCTCTGTGAAGCATTTTCACAGAATGTGTATTCACATGCGATTATATAATTGACTGTGGAAATGGAGTGTTATTAAAGTTCTGCTGTTGGGGCAGCTATTAGGTAAAGCAGTTAAGATGCTGCCTGAAACACCCACGTTCCCTAGCAGAGTGCCTGGTTCTAGTCTGGCTCTGGTTCTAGTCGCAGCCTCCTGGTAGTGCACACCCAGGGAGTCAGAGTGATGGCTCAAGTAGTTAAGTCCCTGCCATCCACAGGGGAGGCCCAAATGGAGTGATTGTTCCTGGCTTTGGCCTGGCCCAGCCCCTGCTGTTGTGGGCATTTGGGGAGAGAACCAGCAGATGGAAGATCTGTCTGTCTCTGTATGTATATCTCTCTCCACTTTTCAGATGAAAAGGAAAAGAAATAATTCTAAATCAAAGAACTACACTTGTGAGGCCGGCGCTGTGGCACATTAGGTTAATCCTCCGCCTGCAGTGCTAGCATCCCATATGGGTGCCGGTTCGAGTCCTGGCTGCCCCTCTTCCAATCCAGCTCTCTGCTGTGGCCTGGGAAAGCAATAGAACCTGGCCCAAGTCCTTGGGCCCCTGCATCCATGTAAGAGACCTGGAAGAAGCTCCTGGCCCCTGGCCTTGGATCAGCACAGCTCTGGCCATTGTGGCCATCTAGGGAATGAACCAGTGGACTGAAGACCTCTCTGTCTCTCCCTCTTTAAAAAAAGAACTATACTTGTAATGAACATGCTAATAGTTATGCTAAAGTAATTTTATAGTGATAAGATATTTATTCAACCCAATTAGTTTTTTTTTAAATTTTATTATTATTATTTTTTTTTTTTTGACAGGCAGAGTGGACAGTGAGAGAGAGAGACAGAGAGAAAGGTCTTCCTTTTGCCGTTGGTTCACCCTCCAATGGCCGCCGCGGCCAGCGCGCTGCGGCCGGCGCACCGCGCTGATCCGATAGCAGGAGCCAGGAGCCAGGTGCTTTTCCTGGTCTCCCATGGGGTGCAGGGCCCAAGCACCTGGGCCATCCTCCACTGCACTCCCTGGCCACAGTAGAGAGCTGACCTGGAAGAGGGGCAACCGGGACAGAATCCGGCGCCCCAACCAGGACTAGAACCCTGTGTGCTGGCGCCGCTAGGCAGAGGATTAGCCTAGTGAGCCGCGGCGCCGGCCACAACCCAATTAGTTTTAAGACAAGTTGTAATTAAGTAGTTCTGCAGCAGTCAGTACTAACCTTCCCTGAGTAAGCCTGGGTAGATTGTTGATAAGCTGTATTTGTCAGGATTCTTTGGTTACAGGCAGTGAGAGGAGCTGTATGGTTTCGGGGTGTGGGGTTGTAAGTGATGTAAGGGGGCCGACAGAGCTGGAGGAGACACTGAAGACCAGAACAGGGACCTACAGCGTCCTGCAGCCTAGGCAGCAAGCGCTGCTGGCGGGTGTGCAGGCGGACAGTCAGTGCCACAGACGTGCTGCAGCTGCTGCCACTCCAGGGCAGGGCTCGGGTTCCAGGGCGCTGGGGCTGGCCTGGCGTGAACCATGCTCAGCCCTGGCCCAGAGAGGGCAAGGGGTCGCGGTAGCAGGCTGCAGAAATGACCCTTCTGCACTCAAAGGTCATGGAGTCGTAGTCCTTGTCTCCTTTTCTTAGCTTCTGTTTCTTGGTGGCTTCATTTTCAGACTCTCTCTGGTTGAGAGATGGCCACGGCAATGCCCAGCGCTCTGGTTCTGTGGAGTTCACGGCCGGTGTCGTCTGGCACTTGGGGCTCTTCAGTGAGCCGCGTGATGCATCCCTGGTGCTGCTGCCTCTGGAAGCCCTGGGCTGCGAGGGCGGGAGGTGGCACCCGACAGGATGGGTGGAGGAGGCCGGGCGGCACAGGGGGTCTTAGCAACCTGCGCCAGCACTAAGAGGAAAACGTGACAGGGCGCCTCCTCAGACCTCTGCGTCCTTCAGCACCCTTCCCAAAGGAAGATCCCTGTTAGGTTCAGAGCACAAGTCGGCCTCGCCTTCTGCAGGCAAGGGTTCCAGCGTCAGTGGCCCGCGTGTGCACTGCTAGGGAGTTGGTATGAGAGCTGGGGCAGGGGCGGGGAGGGCTGAGGTCGTAGTTGAGTTCTCAGAGCCCCAGCTCTGCTCTGTGGGGCCTTGACCCAGGCATGCAGAACTCAGAGAGGACCCCTCAGTGGTGGAGGCTCGTGCCTAGGATTGCCGGTCTCCTTGGAGTCTCCGCATGCTGCCTAGCTCACAGGAGCCTCTGGGGAGAACAGTGGACCCTCACTCGGCTTTTCCTGCCTGTGCCACCACGTCACGCCTCGCCCCAGCCCAGCACAGCTCTGGCTGCAGCCCCACCCGCTGGCCAAAGCTTCAAGAAAAAGGGAAGACTGGGGAAATTCATTCTCGTCCGAAGTTTGCTCTCCCCAGTCTGCCTACTTGTGTTTATTTTTTATTTATGTTTTTCGAATTTATATTGTACTTTGTCCAATTTTGGGGTTGAGGCAAATCAGTGGGAGAGAGTGGCTGTAGGGGGCTCACCCCACCGTGGCCAGCACCCAGAGTCCCAAGTGATGACCTGTGTCAACCTTCCATCCTGCATACCATAGATAGTATGTCACGGTGTCTGCGTCAGGAGGCTGAGCTTAGCTGGGTCCCCTTCAAGGCCTGCACCTGTGGGACAGGGCAGCATCCAGGCTGCCCCAGGCCAGTGGCCAAGCTTAGTTCTTTGCAGTTGGATTGACAGCTGATGTCTTCAAAGCCACGGCCAAGAAGGAGGCTATAAAGCAGCCTGCCAGAAGGGAGTCTTTAAAAGGGGAAAAAAAAAAAAAGTGTGTTTATTTATTTTGAAAGGTTTAGAGACAGAGAGGGATCTTCCATCCACTGGTTCACTCCCCAGTGGCTGCAGCAGCCGGTCCAACACTTGGGCCATTTTCCCACTGCTTTTCCCAGGCCGTTAGCAGAACTGGATTGGAAGTGGAGCAGCCGAGACACAAACCAGCACCCGTGTGGGGTGCCAGCGGGGGCTTTGCCCCTGCAGCACAGCGCCAGCCCCTGGGAAGGGGTCCTAAGGGAGTGGCATTCATCTTGGCCATCTCGCAATGGTTAGAAGCAGAGCACCCAAGGTGTGTGAGCATCAGAGGACCTTGGAGTCCATCAGCCATCTCACCTCTGGTCCTCAACCCCAGACTCCACGTGGCGGGTGGGAAATAATCACTGGACCGGCCCTGCCTCCTGGGAATCTGGACTCGGGAGCCAGGACAGGGTCAGCGCCAGGCACCGCTAGATGAGCCCTGGGCGTCCTGCTTGGCCTCTGCACTGCCTGGCCAAATGGCTGCCTGCACTGAGCGCTCTCCAAGGTGGATGTGTGTGGTCTCACAGAGACCCCTGAGAATGCCCCAGGAGGCTGTTGGCTTGTTCATCTGAGGAGAGACTGTGGGTGGTGGAGAAGGAGGGACCTGACTTTTCTTTGTGGCCTTTTGTACGTATTTTTCTTCATGTATTTTTTTGTACATGTATTTAATTTTGCAAAGTAAAAATAGGACTAGATGTTGATTTTTAAATTTTATTGGCGAACAATAGAAAACCTGTGCATTAGGAGTTAGAAGTAAAAAGATTACTGCTAGCCAGGAGAAGACTGGATAAAGCCGTATCAAAGGGCAGATGTCGGAAGTACGCTTTGTCGCGTCAGCCTGAGCAGAGGCGGGGAAGTGTCGGTTCTCGTGGCGGCAAGAACTCTGCTCCCAGCACCGACTGTACCATCACAGCAAAATCTTAACGCCGCTGAGGGAGTCGCGGCTCTGATTCATTTAATTTGCTGATTAAAGAGAATTAAAATCATTTTTATTCTTATTGAGTACCTTTTTAAATTTACTATCTGAAGGCAGTGGGATGGCCTCGTTGTGCTGTGGGTTGAGGAAGTGCAGTGGCACTGTGACCTGGCTTCCCCTGGCGTGTGGCAGAACTGTCATTCACACGGGCTCCTGCGCCTGTGGCCTGCCCTCTGCACCTGTAACCTGAAAACATTCCCGAAAGCTCCATGTGTCTTCTCAGGTAAAGCGCAGTCTCTTTCCCGCTTGACAGTTCTCGTCGGCCTTGGCTGAACACTGGAGTCTGGAAGCCTGAGTCCCACTCCCAGGGCGCGCACTGGAGTGGGTTGCGACCACGGTGGAAACTTCTCCAGTGACGTTGATGGGTACCAAAGCTGAACCACGGTTTCAGGGCTTGGCTGGTCTGTTTTAGACAGCAGGAAACAGAGCTCCTATCTGTTTGTTCCCTCCGCAAACACCTGCAGTGGGTGGGGTGAGGCCGGGCCGGAGCCGGGAGCCAGGAACTCCATCCAGGTCTCCACCAGCCGTCACCTGCTGCCTCCTGGTGTGTGCATTAGCAGGAAGCTGGAATGCGAGTAGAACCAGGAATCGAACCCAAGCACTGCCTATGGGATGTGGGCACCTTTACCACTTGGCCAAAAACACACCCGAACCACTGTTTTAAAGGGAGAAGACTCACAAAGACACCTCCTCATCCTGTGGATTTATGTTTTCATTATAATTGAATTACTTGACTAATATTATTATATTTGTACAAACTGACACTAGGTTGAAAATTCCTTGTGCGTGTAGCTGAATATAAAAAATTTACAAATTAAAAACAGACTGAAAAGTTAATAAATTCAAGACAATATTAATAGATGGATGTCAGGTTTATTTTATTTATTTGAAAGAGTTAAAGAGAGAGGCAGAGGCAGAGAGAGAGGTCTTCCATCTCCCCAAATGGCTGCAACGGCTGGAGCTGAGCTGAGCTGAAGCCAGGAGCCTGGAGCCTGGAGCTTCCTCTGGGTCTCCCATGTGGGTACAGGGGCCCAAGGACTTGAACCATCTTCTCTGCTTTCCAAGGTGCATTAGTTGGGAGCTGAATCAGAAGTGGAGCAGCCGGGACCTGAATGGGCACCCACACAGGGTGCTGGCAGCCCAGGCCGGGGCTTGAACCCGTGTGCCACAGCGCCAGCCCTGGATGACAGAATTTTGCTGAGGTTTTGGGCTTGCTGTTCCTCTACTAACTCCGTTACAGTGACCTTCCCTCTGTATCAGTCTGGTCCACTTGGGAGATAGGAGCCACACAGATAAAGTTTAACTCCAGAAATAATTAAACTGTGATAAAGGGTATTAACTCCAGAAATGATAGGGCTCCCGAGCTGAGGGTGAGAACCCAAGGAAGGACTCAGGTGGAAGAGGCCCCCAAGGCTGAAGTTTGAGGAGGGTATAGCTGCACACTGATGGCCAAGCTCACAGACACGCGGTGGAAGTGGGGTGTCTGCGGTGTCCCAGTCAGGAGGGCTGTGTTACTGAAAGTACCACAGGGCACAGATCTGGGGCTCACAGGGTCTGTGCTGGGGGGTCGTGAGAAGGTGCCCCAGACCGTGTCTGAGCTGCAAGGTGGCTGAGAAACCACCCATGCTGGACCCATGGCTGGGGCCATCGCTAGGTGGTCTCACACCCGAAAGTTGGCCCCGCCGTGCAGCAGCCAGAAGCAGGAGGCCCCCTCCGGTGTCCTGCAGGTGCCCTGTACTGAGAAAGCTCCATGCTGTGCCCACTCTGTCGTTATCACAGAGCCCATGTTGAAGGGCGAATTTGGAGCTGATGGCAGTGAGTGGAGAGCCAGGCTGCGTTGCGACATTTCAGCCCTGAGTCGCAGGCGGCTGGGACCACTTCCACGCTGAGCTGCCCTGTGCTGACTCAGCACCCTACACCACTGACCATGCCTTGTGGGGATGTTTGCAGACAACAGGCTTATCAAGCATCACCTCTCCAGGCTGTGACTCGGCTGACAGACGTCCACATTTTGGAGATACCTTGAATGACTGATGATGACCCTGAGACAACGGTGAGGAATGCGGGTCTGGCCTGGCCGCCGTTGTACCCTTTCCCCCGCGCGATGCCCAGCACGTGCAGGCTGAACACAGCAGCCAGCGGAGGCAGCCAGGACATGAGGGCGCTTGGTGCAGTAGTGTGGGGTCCATGTCCGTTTCCCACCTGCACTCGGAATGTCCTCCTGAATCCCATGCACACACGCCGTCCATGGCTCAAAACTTTCTGCAGCTAATGTTCCTCATGCTTGATCTGAGACAGGTGGGGCTGGCAGTGACAGAGCGGTCTCTAGGATGCACAGGTCTCTAAGACTCACAGGTCTCTAGGACGCACAGGTCTCTAGGACACACAGGTCTCTAGGATGCACAGGTCTCTAAGACTCACAGGTCTCTAGGACGCACAGGTCTCTAGGACACACAGGTCTCTAGGACGCACAGGTCTCTAAGACTCACAGGTCTCTAGGACGCACAGGTCTCTAGGACATACAGGTCTCTAAGACTCACAGGTCTCTAGGACACACAGGTCTCTAGGATGCACAGGTCTCTAAGACTCACAGGTCTCTAGGACACACAGGTCTCTAAGACTCACAGGTCTCTAGGACGCACAGGTCTCTAGGACATACAGGTCTCTAAGACTCACAGGTCTCTAGGACGCACAGGTCTCTAGGACACACAGGTCTCTAAGACTCACAGGTCTCTAGGACGCACAGGTCTCTAGGATATACAGGTCTCTAGGACGCACAGGTCTCTAGGACTCACAGGTCTCTAGGACACACAGGTCTCTAGGACATACAGGCTCTAGGACACAAAGGTCTCTAGGGTGCACAGGTCTCTAGGACGCACAGGTCTCTAGGGTGCACAGGTCTCTAGGACACAGGTCTCTAGGGCGCACAGGTCTCTAGGGCGCACAGGTCTCTAGGATGCACAGGTCTCTAGGGTGCACAGGTCTCTAGGGCGCACAGGTCTCTAGGACGCACAGGTCTCTAGGGCGCACAGGTCTCTAGGATGCACAGGTCTCTAGGATGCACAGGTCTCTAGGGCGCACAGGTCTCTAGGGTACACAGGTCTCTAGGACATATAGGCTCTAGGACGCACAGGTCTCTAGGGTGCACAGGTCTCTAGGACATACAGGTCTCTAGGACACACAGGTCTCTAGGGCGCACAGGTCTCTAGGACACACAGGTCTCTAGGGCGCACAGGTCTCTAGGATGCACAGGTCTCTAGGATGCACAGGTCTCTAGGGTACACAGGTCTCTAGGACATATAGGCTCTAGGACGCACAGGTCTCTAGGGTGCACAGGTCTCTAGGACACACAGGTCTCTAAGACTCGCAGGTCTCTAGGATGCACTCAGAACGCCCACGTCGCTCATCAGCGGGTTGGCGTCCCAGCTCCGTTCCTGGGAGCAGCAGGTGATGGCAAGCTGGGCCCCTGCACCACGCGGGAGACGTGGAGGGGGCTCCAGGCTCCTGGCTTTGGCCTGGCCCAGCCCCGGTGCTGTGGGCCTCTGGCGAGGGAACCAGCAGATGGAAAACGTCTGTCTCTCTGCCTTCCAAACAAAAATGAAAAAATAAACAAGCTAAACAATAAAGAAAAAAAGTAGGTGCCATACAAATACCGAACTTCTCTTTGTATTTAATAGGGAGAGAGAACAAGAACCCCAAGAAGAGGAGCGTTTGATGGAAGAAAAGAAAAAGAAAAAGCAGGAAGAAAAGAAGAAGAAAGAAAGTGCTCAGAAAAAGGTCTGCTGCCCCACTGCGCGCTCACCCTGCCCCACTGCGCTCACCCTGCCCCACTGTGCACGCACTCACCCTGCCCCACTGTGCACTCACCCTGCCCCACTGTGTGCTCACCCTGCCCCACTGTGCACTCACCCTGCCCCACTGTGCTCACCTGCCCCACTGTGCGCTCACCCTGCCTCACTGTGCTCACCCTGCCCTTGCTCGCTGCACGGCGGAATCGCTCACCCTGCCCCACTACGCGCTCACCTTGCCCCACTGTGCACTTACCCTGCCCCACTGTGCACTCACCCTGCCCCACTGCGCTCACCCTGCCCCACTACACGCTCACCCTGCCCCACTGTGCGCTCACCCTGCCTCAGTGTGTGCTCACCCTGCCCCACTGCGCTCACCCTGCCCCACTGTGCTCACCCTGCCCCACTATGTGCTCACCCTGCCTCACTGTGCTCACCCTGCCCCACTGTGCTCACCCTGCCCCACTACGCGCTCACTCTGCCCCACTGTGCACTCACCCTGTCCCACTACGCGCTCACCCTGCCTCAGTGCGTGCTCACCCTGCCCCACTGTGCTCACCCTGCCCCACTGTGCTCACCCTGCCCCACTATGTGCTCACCCTGCCTCACTGTGCTCACCCTGCCCCACTGTGCTCACCCTGCCCCACTACGCGCTCACTCTGCCCCACTGTGCACTCACCCTGTCCCACTACGCGCTCACCCTGCCTCACTGTGTGCTCACCCTGCCCCACTGCGCACTCACCCTGCCCCACTGTGCTCACCCTGCCCCACTGCGCTCACCCTGCCCCACTGTGCTCACCCTGCCCCACTGTGCGCTCACCCTGCCCCACTGTGCTCACCCTGCCCCACTGCGCTCACCCTGCCCCACTGTGCTCACCCTGCCCCACTGCGCTCACCCTGCCCCACTGTGTGCTCCCCCTGCCTCACTGCGCTCCCCCTGCCCCACTGTGCTCACCCTGCCCCACTGTGCGCTCACCCTGCCCCACTGCGCTCACCCTGCCCCACTACGCGCTCACCCTGCCCCACTGTGCGCTCACCCTGCCTCAGTGCGTGCTCACCCTGCCCTCGCTCGCTCCACGGCGGAATCGCTGTTCTGTCGCTTCTTAACATCCGTGTGCTGAACCTGCGACCAGTAAATACGGGCTTTGTGCTGTGGAGTAAATGAGGGGAGCAGGCACCAGGCGCCTCCTTAGAGCCAGAGCACTGGACTGTGTGTTGGGGACGGCGGTGCGGAGTGTCTGTGCCGTTGCACTCCCGGGGAACCTTGGGGACAGCAGCGAGAGGCCCAGGAGAGGCGTTACACCGGCCTCACTGGGGCTGCAGGTGTTGTGTTTCTGCAGCGGGGACGAAGTCCTTTACGCACTCTGCTGGTAAAGAGGAGGAGTCCTGGGAGGCTCGCAGGCGTCTGACACGCAGCACGTGGTGCGCTCTGTGCGCCTCCTGGACGGCACTGGCAGAGCAAGCTCCCAGGGAATCTGCAGTTAGGTTCCTATTGCATGGACTCAACAGCGTGTAGGCAATTATACGTTTTTCTCAATAATAAATCTGGCAAAAATTTCTTTTTAAAATGTCCAATATTAAAAGACTGCTTGTAGACTTTTATATATGCATATGTTCTACACACTATTATTCCTAAAGAGTATGTGATTTTTTTTTCAGGCTGCTGATCAAAAAACCAAAGGTAAGTTTGTTTGGATCTGGGGGGAGGGAGGTACATGGGATGGCGGTGTTGTGCCTTTAATGACAGTGTGGCTGTGTTTTTTAATTGATGGTTAAAAGCAACGAACTTAAGCTTGTGTTTGCGTCTACTTTTTATTATTCATCGTGAAATTTTTCATTTACCACTGGTTTTACATCTGCATCTCATTGGCATTTGTTAATCCAAAAACCCCTAAAGAATGCTGTGTTAGCTTTCTTAACAAAGCTTTTTAATTTTCTTTTGGTTTGATTTCCACCAAACACGTTTGAACTGATGACAAGTTGGTTCATTTGAATAAGAACAACCAAAAGACAGTGCAGTTTTTTAAGCTTCCAGTTTCTCGTGCCAGCCACTCTTTACAGCAAAAAGAGGTTTACTCCTTCTGGTCTCCCGCTTTGCTTGGTTTGTGTAAAAGGTTTCCTTCGTCCCCCAAGCCCCAAGCTGGCTGACTGCCTTAGTGGGTGCTGTACTTCCTTCTCCGTAAGGAGCTGGATTCCCAGGAGCCAAGTGGAAGCCGCCCTCCCAGCCTCTTCACTGCCCTCCTGGTGCCCTCGGGGCCTTGGCGGTGGGAAGGAGCTCACACTGGGACGTGCTGCTGCCTCCCTGAGAGAGTGTGGACGGCTCCTGCCTCACACAGCTGTCGTCAGGCCCGAGTGGACGCTGTTCCTGTTTGTCAAGTAAAAGCCAAATTAGAAGAGGAAAAGGAGACTGCATGAGCTCGTGTGGGAGGAGGCTCAGCGGCAGTGCAGAGCTGTGGTGATTGTCATATCTGGCAGTCCTTGCTCCGTGACACCGGTCACGCAGACACACGCCCTGCGAGGGCCGTGCCCTGTGCCATCCCTGCAGCAGGGCTACCACCAGCGCTCCACGTGTCAGAGTGGAGGATGTGTCTGTCGCCTGGTAACTGTGCGGTGGCATGGGGCGGGCACCATTTGCAGAGGCTCCAGCGTGAGGGAAGTGGCTGTGCCGTGGTTTGGTGAGATGGGACCCGAGGGAGCCCTGGGCGCGTGGGCCACGCTCAGAGTCATGTTAGAGCCCGCCACACTCAGAGTCACATTAGAGACAGAGCCCGCCACGCTCAGAGTCACGTTAGAGACAGAGCCCGCCACGCTCAGAGTCACGTTAGAGACAGAGCCCGCCACGCTCAGAGTCACGTTAGAGACAGAGCCCGCCACGCTCAGAGTCACGTTAGAGACAGAGCCCGCCACGCTCAGAGTCACGTTAGAGACAGAGCCCGCCACGCTCGGAGTCACGTTAGAGACAGAGCCCGCCACGCTCGGAGTCACGTTAGAGACAGAGCCCGCGGCCCGGGTGAAGTGCTAGCAGGCAGCGTGGAGAGGGCGCCTCCTCTCTGACTCGCAGGACTCGTGTTGGAAGGGTTAGGGGGTGTGTGATCGACTGTTGGAACTGACGATTGTAAGTAAGGAACAGTGGTTTCTTACAGTTGTCACAAAGAATATAGGATTTGTGTTCTGAATTGTCAATTTCCTTTTTATTTTTTTTTATTTTTTTATTTTTTGACAGGCAGAGTGGACAGTGAAAGAGAGAGACAGAGAGAAAGGTCTTCCTTTGCCGTTGGTTCACCCTCCAATGGCTGCCGCGGCCGGCGCACCGCGCTGATCCGATGGCAGGAGCCAGGAGCCAGGTGCTTTTCCTGGTCTCCCATGGGGTGCAGGGCCCAAGCACCTGGGCCATCCTCCACTGCACTCCCTGGCCACAGCAGAGAGCTGGCCTGGAAGAGGGGCAACCGGGACAGAATCCGGCGCCCCGACTGGGACTAAAACCCGGTGTGCCGGCGCCACTAGGCGGAGGATTAGCCTAGTGAGCCGTGGCGCCGGCCAGTCAATTTCCTTTTTAAAAACATTTTGAAAAGTTTGAGCTTTTACAATTTGATTCATTAACAGCTGTATTCTGTTGTCATTGTCATTATTTTTCATCAAATGAAAAAGTGCTTACTGTGTAGTGATCAGGAGTTACATTATCCTGCCTCTCTGTAGAGTTTTGGTTTTTTTAAGCTTCCATTAGTATGGTTAACTTTAATTTTTTCCCCAGAAACCTTTTATTTAAGGAATACAAACTTCATACATTTCATAAATACAACTTTAAGAATATAGTTACTCTTCCCATCACACCCACACCCACACCCCCACCCCTCTTCCTCCTCCCTCTCCTGTTCCCATTCTTATTTTTTACTAAGATCTATTTTCGTTAACGTTATACACATATGATTAACTCTGTACTAAGTAAAGAATTCAACAAATTGTTTAAAAAAAAAACTGTTAGCAGTCAAGACAAGGGCTGTGCAAAGTCAGTGCACCTCGCAGTGTCGACTTCACTTCTTTTTTTTTTTTTTTTTTTTTTTTTTTTTTTTTTTTTTTTTGACAGGCAGAGTGGACAGTGAGAGAGAGAGACAGAGAGAAAGGTCTTCCTTTGCCGTTGGTTCACCCTCCAATGGCCGCCGCTGCAGCCGGCGCACCGCGCTGATCCGATGGCAGGAGCCAGGATCCAGGTGCTTTTCCTGGTCTCCCATGGGGTGCAGGGCCCAAGCACCTGGGCCATCCTCCACTGCACTCCCTGGCCATAGCAGAGAGCTGGCCTGGAAGAGGAGCAACCGGGACAGAATCCGGCGCCCCGACCGGGACTAGAACCCGGTGTGCCGGCGCCGCAAGGTGGAGGATTAGCCTATTGAGCCACGGCGCCGGCTCTCGACTTCACTTCTATAGATTACCTTTTAGGTACTCTAGTAGTTACCACAGATCAGGGAGAACATGTGGTATTTGTCCTTTTGGGACTGGCTTGTTTCACCAAGCATGATGTTTTCCAGTTACAACCATTTTGTTGCAAACAGCAGGATTTCATTTTTTTAACCACTGTGTAGTATTACATAGTGTACATATCCCATAATTTCTTTATCCAGTCTTCAGTTGATTGGCATGTGGGTTGAGTCCATATCTTAGCTATTGTGAATTGAGCTACAGTAAACATGAGGGTACAGATAACTCTTTCATATGCTGATTTAATTTTCCTTGGGATGACTGGGTCATATGATAGGTCTGTATTCAGATTTCTTAGGTGTCTCTGTACTGTCTTCCAACAGTAGATTAGGGGGCCTTTTTCCCCACATCCTCACCAGCATTTGTTGTTTGTTGACTTATGTATGAAAGTCTTTCTAACTGGGGTGAGGTGAAACCTCGTTGTGGTTTTGATTTGCATTTCCCTGACAGCTAGTGATCCTGAACATTTTTTCATGTGTCTGTGGCCATTTGGACTTCCCCTTGCAAAATGCCTGCTTAAGTCCTTTATTTCTTAACTGGGTTGCTTGTTTTGTTGTTGTGGAGTTTCTTGATCTCTTTATATATTCTGGTGTTAATCCTTTGTCAGTTGCAGAGTTTGCAGTATTTTCTCCTGTTCTGTCAGTTGCCTCTTCACTTTGCTGAGTGTTTCTTTTGCAGTGCAGAAGCTTCTCAGTTTGGTGTGATCTCATTTGTCAATTTTGGCTTTGATTGCTTGTGCCTCTGGGGTCTTTTCCAAAAACTCTCTGCCTGTGTCGATGTCTAGCAGGGTTTCCCCAATGTTCTCTAGTAATTTGATGGTATCAGATCCTAGATTTAGGTCTTTAATCCATTTTGAGTGGATTTTTGTGTAAGGTGTGAGGTAGGGGTCTTGCTTCTTACTTCTGCATGTGGAGATCCAGCTTTCCCAGTACCATTTGTTGAAGACAAATGCTCCAGGGATTGATTTTAGCTCCTTTGTCAAAGGTAACTTGGTTGTAGATATGTGGGTTGATTTCTGGCATTTCCATTCTGTTCTGTTGGTCTGTCCACCTGTTTTGTACCAGTACCAGGTTGTTTTGATTATAATTGCCCTGTAGTGTGTCTTGAAATCTGGTATTGTGATGCCTGCTGCTTTGTTTTTGTTGTGTAAGATTGCTTTAGCTGTTCGGGGTCTCCTGCATTCCCATGTGAATTTCAACATCATTTTTTTCTATATCTGAGAAGACTGTCCTTGGTATTTTGCTTGGTATCACATAGAATCAGTAAATTGCTTTGGATAGTGTGGACATTTTGATGATATTGATTCTTCCAATCCATGAACATGGAAGATTTTTCCTTTGTGTGTGTGTGTGTGTGTGTGTATCTTATATTTCTTTAATGTATTATAATTCTCGTCATAGAGATCTTTGACATCCTTGGTTAAATTTATTCAAGGTTTTTTGTTTTTTGTTTTTTTTTTTTTTTGGTAGCTATTGTGAATGGGATTGATCTTAGAAGTTCTTCCTCAGCCATGGCATTGTCTATATACAAAGGCTATTGATTTTTGTTATATCCTGCACTTTATCAAACTCCTCTATGAGTTCCAAAAGTCTCTCTCTTTTTTTTTTTTTTTTTTACAGGCAGAGTGGACAGTGAGAGAGAGAGACAGAGAGAAAGGTCTTCCTTTGCCGTTGGTTCACCCTCCAATGGCCGCCGCGGCCGGCGCGCTGTGGCCGGCGCACCGCGCTGATCCGATGGCAGGAGCCAGGAGCCAGGTGCTTTTCCTGGTCTCCCATGGGGTGCAGGGCCCAAGCACCTGGGCCATCCTCCACTGCACTCCCTGGCCACAGCAGAGAGCTGGCCTGGAAGAGGGGCAACCGGGACAGAATCTGGCACCCCGACCAGGACTAGAACCTGGTGTGCCGGCGCCGCTAGGCGGAGGATTAGCCTAGTGAGCCGTGGCGCCGGCCCCAAAAGTCTCTTACTAGAGTCATTTGGGTCGCCTATATATAGAATCATGTCATCTGCAAATAGGGATAGTTTGACTTCCTCCTTCCCAATCTGATTTCTTTTTTCTTGGCTAATGACTCTGGCTAAAACTTCCAGGACTACACTGAATAGCTGTGGTGAGAGTGGGCATCCTTGTCTGGTTCCAGATTTCAGTGGTAATGCTTCCAACCTTTTCCCATTCAGTAGGACACTGGCCCTGGCCACACTGGCCACTGGTCATGGATGTAGTAAGTTGTTGAGGAATGTTTTTTTTTTTTTTTTTTTTTTTTTTTTTTTTTTTTTTTTTTTGACAGGCAGAGTGGACAGTGAGAGAGAGAGACAGAGAGAAAGGTCTTCCTTTGCCGTTGGTTCACCCTCCAATGGCCGCCGCGGCCGGCGCACCGCGCTGATCCGATGGCAGGAGCCAGGAGCCAGGTGCTTTTCCTGGTCTCCCATGGGCTGCAGGGCCCAAGCACCTGGGCCATCCTCCACTGCACTCCCTGGCCACAGCAGAGAGCTGGCCTGGAAGAGGGGCAACCGGGACAGAATCCGGCGCCCCGACCGGGACTAGAACCCGGTGTGCCGGTGCCGCAAGGCGGAGGATTGGCCTAGTGAGCCGCGGCGCCGGCCCGAGGAATGTTCTTTCTATACCCAATTTGCTTACAGTTTTCATCATGAAATGGTGTTGTATTTTATCAAATGCTTTCTCTGCATCTATTGAGATAATCTTATGGCTTTTGTTCTTCAAGTTGTTGATGTGATGTATCACCCTGAGTGATCTGTGAATGTTGAACCATCCCTGCATACCTGGGATAAATCCCACTCGGTCTGGGTGAATGATCTTTCTGATGTGTTGTTGGATTCTATTGGCTAGAATTTTATTGAAGATTTTTGCGTCTTATGTTCATGAGGGAAATTGGCCTGTAGTTCTCTTTGTTGTGTCTTTTTCAGGTTTGGGAATTAAGATGATGCTGGCTTCTTAGAAGGAGTTCAGGAGGATTCCCTCCCTTTCAGTTTATTTGAGTAGCTTGAGAAGAATTGGAGTCAGTTCTTTAAAGGTCTGATAGAATTCAGCAGTGAAGCCATCCGGCCCTGGGCTTTCCTTTCTTGGGAGGGTCTTTATTACCGATTCATTTTCCATCTTGGTTATTGGTCTGTTTAGGTTTTCTGTGTCTTCATGGCTCCATTTTGGTCGGTTGTATGTGTCCAGGAATCTATCCATTTCCTTTGGGTTTCCTGTTTGCTGGCATACAGCTCTTTGTAGTAATTTCTGATGATTCTTTTTATTTCTGTGGTGTCTGTTGTTACATTTCCTTTTTCATCTCTAATTTTATTGAATCGTGTCTTCCTCTTTTTTTGGTTAGGTGGGCCAATGGTGTGACAATTTTGTTTTTTCAAAAAAGCCAGCTTTTCATTTCGTTTCTTTTGTATCAGTTTTTTGTTTGTTTGTTTCAATTTTATTGATTCTTCTCTAATTTTAATTATTTCTTTTCTCCTACTAGTTTTGGCCTTGGTTTGCTGTTGTTTTTCTAAGTTCATGACTTAGACCGTGTGGTATCTGTACATGAGAGCAGTTCCATGCTTTATCACGCAGAAACCCAGGTTCTTCGGCTCCGGGTAGAAAAACAACCCAAGCTCAGTTTCCCATTCTCTGTGCACACAGCAGCAGTCACTTCTTGACCCCAGAATGTGTGGTGGCTTCTCCCCGTCGGCAGGCAGGCAGCAGTTCTGCAGCGGGCCCGAGCTGGACAGCGTCAGATCTAATTCAGTCCTGATGCGCTGCCCCACCTGGGGGTACATCGCATCCCAAGTCCAGGCCTCCAGAACTTGTGAATAGCCAGCCGCCAGTGGCCTCCCGGGCCTTCTTTAGGCTGCATTAATTCGCTAGAGCAGCTCACAGAACTCAGAGAAACAATTGCATTTACCTTTTTATAGTAAAAGTTTTTTTTATTAAGATTTATTTAATTTTGTGAAGGCAGTGTGACAAAGGAAGAGACTTAAAAGGAGCTCTTCCATCTGTTGGTTCACTCCCCAGCTGGTCTAGGCCAGGCGGACGCAGAACTGCACCCAGATGTCCGCTGGGTGGCAGGCACAGGCACCCAGCCCTGTCTGGCTCCCAGGTTCCTGAGCAGGGAGCTGGGCCGGAGCAGAGCTACCAGGATTGAAACCAGCGCTCCCACGTGGGGCTGCGCCGCGAACAGCTCAACCCGCTGTGCCACAACAGCGACCCCTCAAAGCCTTTTCTTTTTTAAGATTTATTTGTTATTTATTTGAGAGGGAGAGAGAGAGAGAGAGGTCTTCCATCTGCTGGTTCACTCCCCAGATGGCTGCAGCAGCCAGAGCCGGGCCAGACTAAAGCCGAGAACCAGGAATTTCTTTCAGATCTCCCACAAGGGTGCAGGGGCCCAACCTCTTGGGCCATCTTCCGCTGCTTTTCCAGGCACATTGGGAGGGAGCTGGATTGGAAGTGGAGCAGCCGGGACTCCAACCAGCACCCATGTGGGATGCTGGCATCACAGGCAGCAGCTTTACCCGCTGCCCCCCAGTGCCAGCCCCTAAAAGCTAACTTCAGATACACCTCTCTCCTCCATGTGTGCCTGCTGTCAGTGGACTTCAGCTTAAAAGCAGGAGCCCAGGAGGTTCTGGCTGAGGCTGTGTAAATTTCCTGAGTGAAAACTGCTGTTGTGAGAGAAGAGCCGTTCCTGTCTGGCGTCGGCTCCCACCACAGACGCCTGGCCCGGAGCTTCTCTCTGACCCTGGAGGCCCCAGGCCCCTCCAGGCCTCTGCACGCTGTCCGTCTCCTCTCCAGGGCTCTCCCAGGCACTGTCCCCGAGATGGGAGTGGCCTCCCAGGCACTAGCACACACTGGGCCCGCTGACACCGTCGCGTTAGTTTAAGCCTTGCTTCCTGGAAGGAGCCACTCAGTCTCTCAATGGCGTTCTTCGATCCCACGGTGAATTTCTGTTGTTGCCATGATTGGTGACTGTGTGTCTGGGATATTAGAGGTAGTACCACTTCCTGTATCCAAGCTGTACGGACAGAAATCATATCTGCTATTTCCTCAGTATTCCCAGTGCCTGCCACAAAATACACCCTTACTAAATAATTCCTGAATAAGCAAGCAAGGGGGCCGGCAGCATAGCATGGTCGGCTCACATCCCACATGGGTGCCAGTTTGAATCCTGGCTGCTCCTCTTCCGACCCAGCTCTCTGCTGTGGCCTGGGAAGGCAGTGGAAGATGCCCAAGTGCTTGGGCCCTGCCCCCACGTGGGAGGACACCGGGAAGAAGCTCCTGGCTCCTGGCTCCTGGCTTCGGCCTGGCCCAGCCCTGGCTGTTGCAACCATTTGGAGAGTAAACCAGCAAATGGAAGACTTGTCTCTCCTCTCTCTGTAACTCTGACTTTCAAACAAATAAATAAATCTTAAAAAAAGAAAGAAAGAGAAGAAACAACAACAAAAAGAAGAGTCTGGGAGACGAGGTCAACAAGCAGGAAGCGCGGAGGTGGAGGAGTCTGAGGCGTGCCGAGAGGCGTGCGGCCGCCTGTCCCTGCCGACGCCGCGAGTGCCTCAGGAGGGCGCTGGGAGTGACCTGCAGACTGTCCGGCCAGCCCAGTGTGACTATGCCACTTGAAAATTTTAGCTGAAAGCAGAAAATTCTTTAAAGCAGAAAATTGTTTTGAAAGACTTGCTCTCTACTAGAGAGAGTGAGCCTCCACTTTTCACCAGCAGATGTCGCCCTTATTTTTTTTTTAAATGCTTATTAGACAACAAGGAAGGAAGGTGCCAGTTTGCTGAAAGTTTCGTGTCATTAGCTGTGGCGTCCCTGAGTGGTTGCTCTTACTTTTTCTGATTAAAACACGTGATTGGCTGATGCTCCGTAAACAGAATCGGGTTGAGGTCCCATTGCCCCTCCGTCTTCTGTGCTATGTGGGCCCTGCTACCAGCAGGGCGGGATCCTGTGGGCACCCGTCCCTGCCGTTTGGCCGGAAGGAGGCTGGCAGGATGGCGGGATGTCCTGGTGCTTTGAAATTTGGATCTGAAGAAAGAATGTGGCTAATCAAGAACTGCCCACTGGACTAACCTGAATGCAAGGACAATGCGAGTTTTGAGGCCTTCCCGTTGCCATTTGAGGTTGTATTAGGTGGCTGCTAGTTTCCAAGATCCTGACAGTAGTGGCCTAAACCAGAGAAGGTTGATCACTGCCTCCTGCGGAGGAGCCCAGAGGGGACTCTGGCAGCTCTGGCAGCTCCGACTTCCTGTCCCTCCTGTCCCATCGCTTCACTGAGTGAGGTCTCGGCCTTTCTCTCCGTCCAGAGTGACCACAGAAGAGCGGCTACCGTGTCAGCACCCAGTGGCGGGCGTGGGCCAGCTGAATGCACTGTGTGGTGTGAGACCCCAGGGGCCCCTGGTCTCTGTCCAACAAGTACTCGATGACATTTTCCTGTGTGCAAGACAGTACACTGGAGCTTCTCTGGATAATACAGGCATATATATATATATATATATATATATATATATTTAAAAGAGTTCCAAAAAGGAAGAGACAGAGAAAGAGAGATCTTCTGTCCACTGGTTCACTCCCCAAATGGCCACAGTGACCAGGGCTGGGCCAGGCCAAGACAGGAGCCAAGAGCCTCTTCTGGGTCTCCCACGTGGGTGCAGGGCCCAAGCACCTGGGCCATCCTCTGCTGCTTTCTCGTCATTAGCAGGGAGCGGGATCAGAAGTGCAGCAGCCGGGTGTCTGACTGGTACCGGTAGGGGCATCGCAGGCGGTGGCCTTCCCTGCTGGGCCGCCACACGAGTCCCGGAACGCAGGCTTTTAAAGGAAAGACTCTCACCCGCAAAAGCTTGTGATCTGTCACGCTTTCTGGTTTTCCAATCCCTGCTTCACCTTTAACCTTTATAGAAAGATAATTATTTAAATGTAATGCATTTCTGAGAAACCAGCTTCAACTTTATCTCTTTCAAGAAGACAGTTGCCAGGGCCGGCGCTGTGGCACACACAGGGGTTAAAGCCCGGCCTGCAGCATCGGCATCCCACATGGGTGCAAGTTCGAGTCCCGGCTGCTCCACCTCCAATCCAGCTCCCTGCTGATGCACTTGGGTTAAGCAGCGGAGGGCAGCCCAAGTCCTTGTGCCCCTGTGCCCATGTGGGAGACCCACAGGAAGCTCCTGGCTCCTGGCTTCAGATCAGTTCAGCTCTGGCCATTGTGGCCATTTGGAGAGTGAACCAGTGGATAGAAGACCTCTCTGTCTCTACCTCTCTCTGTAACTTTCAAATAAATAAAATAAATCTTTTTTTTTTTTTTAAAAAGGTATTTGCCATTTCTAGACCAGCACCATCCAATAGAAATATAATGCAAGTCACAAACATGAGGTGCATTAAGTCTGTTTTAAAATAATCTAATAATGGGGGCCGGCGCTGTGGCATGGCGGGTAAAGCTGTTGCCTGCAGCGCCTGCAACCGATATGGGTGCCAGTTCAAGTTCCAGTTCTACTTCCCATCCAGCTCCCTTCAGTGTTAAGGCAGTGGAGGATGGCCCAAGTCTTTGGGCCCCTGCACCCACGTGGGAGACCCAGATGAAGTTCCTGGCTCCTGGCTTTGGCTTGGCCCAGCCCTGACCATTGCAGCCGTTTGGGGAGTGAACCAGCAAATGGAAGATAATCTGTGTGTGTGTGTGTGTGTGTGTGTACACCTGCCTCTGCCTCTCCTCTGTAACTCTTTCAAATAAATCAATCTTAAAAAAAAAAAAAAAAAAAAAAAACAGGAGGGGTGGGCTTTGGCATGCAGTTAAAATGCTGCTTGGGACCCCACATCCTGCATCCGAGTGTCTACTTTGAGTGCCAGCTCCACTCCCAATTCCAGCTTCCTGCTCAAGTGTTCTCTGGGAGGCGGCAGGGATTAGCTGCAGTACTTGGGTCCTGCCACCGTGTGGCAACCTGGACTGAAATCCAAGCTTTGGACTTCAGCCTGGCCCAGCCTCAGCTGCTGTGGGCATTTGAGGAGTAAACCAGTGGGTGAGAGCCATCGCTGTCTGTCGCTTTGTGTGTGTGTGTGCCTTTCAAGTACTTTTTAAAATGACAGGTGGAATTAGTTTCAGTAGTGTGTTTTAAACTTGGTATATCCAAAATATTACCATTTCAATATGAATTCAATATAAAAATTACTAGTGAGATGCACCTCCCTCCTCCCTCCCTCTCTCACTGAGGCCCAGCACCCAGCAGGCACTGTCTACCACAGCACATCCCAGTGTGCACAGCAGGCGCTCAGTCGCCACGTGTGGCGTGTGGTGTGGTTGGTGTGGTTAGTGCTGCCGCTGGGGGCTGCGTGTGCTCATCTGCCCACTCTAAACTTCTCTGAGACTTCCAGTCAGCTCCACGTTCTTTAATTACTCGATGTGTTTTCCAAGTTTATCAGTTCAGTTAGTGAGAAGCTGTTTTCCACTTCCGTGCCTTCCTGCTGCAGCCAGCAGACCCTGGGCTTCCCCCGGATCCTTGTGTGACTTCTGGGCCTCCCCCGGATCCTTGTGTGACTTCTGGGCCTCCCCCTGATCCTTGTGTGACTTCTGGTTGTGTCCGGTTTGAAGGGGAACAGCTTCAAGAGGCGTGACAAGCAGGCCGCTTCAGGTCAAAGCTGGCCTCTGAGCTGGAGGCCACCCTGGGGCTGTGTGGGCTTCAGCAGCGCAGGGACACTGCTGAGAATAGAGTCCTCCAGGGAGCCGCGGACTGAGCAGGCCCCTCGGCCAGGCCCAGCGGTGCTGTGACACACTAAGCCCTCAGCTTCCTGTCTTCCCAGCTTAATGACATCATCTTAAGATGATGAGGATCGGCTGAGAGCTGCTTATTTATAACTACTTTTACTTCTTTATGAAAAGAAAACAATGAGATTTTGAGATACATTACTGGGATTCCCAGAAAAGCTATCCATCTTGACGCTCTAATACGGCGAGTAGCTTGCAGACTCCCTGTAGTAAGTACTGCGGACTTTGTTCGCCAACTTCAGTCCCTGTCGGATTTGCTTCCTTGGTTTTTTCCTCCATCCTTTGAAAGCGTCAGGAGCCCTTGAACCTGCTCAGACCCTCCAGAGATACCAGCAGTCCGAGGCAGGGGTGCCGAGGGCACAGCAGCTTCCTCCAGGGAGAGAAACAGACACACAGGCAGGGCCTTGAGGACTCTGGCCACGGAGGGGTCCCCTGGAGAGACCGAGGAGGAAGCGGCCTCACGGACACCTGGCTTTGACGGCGTGTGCGCCACGGTGCTGTCTACACAAAAGCAGGTGTCGCTCGAAGGCCAAAGGCATTTACAAGTTAAGTGGAAAGGAAACACCAAAAAATGTTCAAATAAGATAAAAGGAACCTTCTGGATGATGACAGGGCGCCAGCAGGGGCAGCTTTACCTCCACAGAGTGTGGGCTTCAATAAGCCCTCAAGCGACTCTTCCTGTTTATTTAAGTTTATTATGTCAGAGACAGGCACAAACAGGCCTTCAGTGGCTGGGACTGGGGCAGGCTGGAGCCCAGAGCCAGGAACTCAATGCACGTCTCCCACGTTGAGTGCCAGGGACCCAAGTATTTGAGCTGTCACCTGCTGCCTCCGAGGGTGGACACTGGCAGGACACTGGAGTTGAGAGCAGAACCGAGGCTCGAACCCGGCACTCCGACATGGCACACTGGTGTCTTACCCACTGTGCCAAATCCCCGTCCCCACCCCTTCTACCAGTGATTTTATGCAACCAAGGGTGAAAAGTGCTCTGACTGCAGCGGAGGCACTGACAGGTAAGAGCAGCTGTGGGCCACCTCTAGGGCGGTGCACCGGGGAAGCCGGCGCTCACACTGGACCTGTAGCCTTGCCTGGGTCTGCTTCTGGAGCGCTGTGGTGGCGTTTCCGTGTCTGTTTTGTTTGCCGTGATTTGGATTCGCTTTTAAGGAAGTGGTGACTCAAGTTTTGGGTTCTTTTTCCTTTTGTTCCTTTTAGTGCCAGAACCTACTAAGACCTGTTCAAGCCAGCCCCAACCTGCCGGTACCAGCACCAGTACTTCCACCAGCACTGTCTCCAGCAGCAACAATGGCAAACGTGCGTGTGCCAGCGGCCAGCAGCCAGCTGCATCCCGCTACCTGCCTCGTGAGGTGCCTCCACGCTTCCGCCAGCAAGAACAGAAGCAGCTGTTAAAGAGGGGCCAGCCATTACCCACAGGGACTCTGACCAGCGCGAGCCCAGCCCAGGCTGCTGGACCTGCAGGGGCAAGCCCACCTCCCCTCCCTGGAGCCAGTGCTCAGCCGCCTCCCAGTAAGCTCCCAGCAGGTAAAGCCACACGGAGTGGGGCACCCGGGATCCGGCCGAGGTGCTGGCTTCAGCTCTGCTGTTGTGTACATTTAATGGGGGTTATGAAGTTTACTTGTGCTGTCCTCTGTGTATTTACGTCATTGCTTACACAGGGGGCTTCAAAACGTCCGTGGCAATGCGTGTCAGGGAAGATGCACAGGTTCCAGGGTTTTGCACCCTGTCAGCACCCGGCTGATGCTTTATAACCCTCAGTAACGGGAAACTTCTCGATAAACCCCCCTTGCCTTTCCTGTGTCTCCCAGTGCTCACACATTCTTTCTCTGCCAAAAGTAATAGGACTTTAGGGTGAGTGTCCCCGAGTGGCGCAGGCACGTCCTGAGCCTGAGCTGCCGAGAGCTCCCGTCCAGGCCCTGCGGGGCTGGGGCCCTGCTCCGCTTCCTGCAGCCCTGGGACTGCGGTAGGGCTCCCTCTCCTCCGTCCGCTCCCGCCCCCGTCCCCTGGCTTTGCGCATCTGCACCTCTGAGAACTGGCTTGCCATTGTTGTATGCAGTTTGAGGGGGAGGCAGAGAGTTTGTGCTCAGCTGCGTGGCTCTGTTTTTCATTAAGTCTTTGTGTCTCAAGTAAGGTAGTAACTGGTACTGGCTCTGGAATGGAAGCCACACTTCCTGAAGGTTGTGAAAATCAGATCTGTAAGTAAGTAAGTGGGGGAGCTTCAGAGATTGGAGCCGGAAGGAAACGAGTCCCAAGTCATGTGAGTGAGCTGTCACGTGTCTTCAAACTCTTGACTTCCATCTGCTGAACACTTGGTAGAGGACATGTGGATCACCAACTGTCACCAAAAAGCCAGGGTGGTGTGGCGCAGCGGTTAAGCCGCCGGCAGCCCATGTCAGAGCGCCGGCTCCAGTCCCGGCTGATCTGCACCTGGGAAAGCAGTGGAAGATGGCCAAGGACGGGGTCCCTGACGCTTGTGCCAGAGACCTGGATGGAGTCCTGGCCCCTAACTTCAGCCTGGCCAAGCACTGGCTGCTGCAGCCATTGAGGGAGTAAACCAGGGAGTGGCAGATAGTTTATGTTTTATCTCTGTCACTCTGCCTTCCAAACAGGCGAACCTTGAAAGAAAAAAAGCAGAAAAGATAAAATCCATTGGTTGACCAAGAATGCAATCCAGTCTGATTAGTGGCAAGCTGTTTTTGATCAAGCATGCTAGTTAGTTCTGCAGGCAACACGGTCCTCGGGACCCGCTTCGGAGGAAGTCTGCACTCAGGCCTGACGGCTTGGTGTGTAAATTTAAAACGTTCACTTTGAAGAGCGAGCGCTGCAGCGACCCTGCTGCTGTGGGCGCTGTGCCGGGCTGCAGTCGGCTGGCCAGCTGCTGTCAGTGCAGGGCGTCAGCTGCCGTCCGATACAGAGAAGATAACCAAGGAGTTAACTTAGCAAAGTCAGGGTTGGAAGGAACACTCTTTACGAAGATGCTTGTCTCTTTAAATATAGCCTTCCTAAGGAACCATTCCCCGCCCGTAGTCCTTTCAGAATCCGCGTGTGCCGAGCGGGGCTCCACCTTGCGCACAAGAGCATCCGAGCCCGCCCGTCCCCGCCAGAGCCTCACCCGCAGCGCCACAGCCTCTGCCGCGGCCAGGGCGGCCCTCACTCCCCTTCGCCCTCGTTGCCCAGGGTCCACCTGCGGTGCAGGTCCTGCACGGCCTGCTGGCATGCTCATGGAGCCCACGTGCCTACTGCTCGGGTGTGCCGTGCGCACTGCCACGTCTTTCCCTGGACATGCCCTTCCCGTTTCTCTTCATGCGTTCACTCCCTCCCAGAGAGCCCCTCCAAGTGTCACCGTGTGCACTGCGCCCAGCCACACTGCCCAAAGACGTGGTGCTTACTGAGTGCTGTGTACCAGGGGGTCCTGTAGCCAGCAAGGCAGAGAAAACCCACCGGAAAGAGGCGGGCATGTGAACTTGAGCATCCTGAAGGTGATCCTGTGGTCAGGGGGAAGATCCCCTTCCCAGCTGTCACTGTCTGGACGTCAGAGTCGTGATGATGCCCGCTGGCCTAACAACCCCCACGCTCTGGACGGATCCCGACGCCGCCTACCGCCCTCCTGTTGACTCGGCGCCGTCTCAGGCCGCTGTGGGAAAGGGCAGCTCTCGCTTCTGTTGCTGGGATGTGAACCGGCGCAGCCTCCACTCAGGGCCATCGGGCAGGACCTGTGCAGGTGGTCAGCGCAGCCTCCACTCAGGGCCGTCGGGCAGGACCTGTGCAGGTGGTCGGCAGGCGTGGGACTGGAAGGCCAGCTGTGCTCTCTGGTCGCTCACTGGCCCCTGCCAAGACCATTCTTAAAAGCGTGAAGACATTTGGCTGTTTTAAGTGCAGAAGCACTTCATAAAGGTCTAGGAATTGGAACATAGGATGAGGGGTGCAGCGTGGTGGCGCAGCCGGTCCAGCTGCTGGGAAGGCCACCTCCCGGGTCGAAGAGCCTGGTTCAAGTCTTGCCGCTTTGCACTTCTTGTCCAGCTTCCTGCCAGTGCCTCTGGGAGGCGGTGGAACGAGGCCCAAGTGCTTGGACCCTGCCACTCAGGTAGAAGACCCAGATGGAGCTCCTCGCCCGGCCCTGGCTGCTGGGGCATCTGGGAGTGGACTAGCGGATGGAAGATTCTCTCTCTCTCTCTCTCTTTCTCTCTCTTTGCCACTCTGCCTTTCAAATAAATAAATCTTAAACAAAAAAAGCTCAGATGATCTTAGCTCTTGGCCTGGTTGCCCCAGGTACCTGTGGGACCACACCCAGCAGACACCTAAGGATCCCTCTCCACTGCCCACCAGATGCTTGGTGGTGGTTCTCTGCCCTGTGGTGTGAATAGTGATGGTTGAGACGGGTGAAGGGGCGGGTTGTAGCATAGCAGGTGATGCGCCACTGGCATCCTGTGTGGACGCTGGTTTGAGCCCCGGCTGCTCCACTTCCAATCCGGCTCCCTGCTAATGCACCTGAGCAAAAGCAACAGAACACAGCCCAAGTGTTTGGGGGCCTGCCACCCGTGTGGGAGACTGGGTGAAGCTTCTGGCTCCCGGCTTCAGCGTGGCCCAGCCCTGGCCAATGTGGTCATCTAGGGGACGAACAAGAGGATGGAAGATCTCTCCTGCCTCTCTCTAGCTGTTCTTTTCAAGTAAATAAACACAGTCTTAACAACAACGACAGGAGGCAGTGGGGCAGACATGGAGTGGACCTTTGCCTGTGGGAACAGCCACCGGTGCACACGCATTAACCTTCCTGTCCCGCGTCTGCTCCACATGCGGGTGGAGGGCAGCCTGTGTTAGACGCAGCAGTGCAGAGGGTGCTCACTCCCTGTGCGCACGCTCCGTCCCTGTTTGTGAGGGCTCAGTGTGGCTCCCGTCCCCTGAGGAGCCACAGCTGTCGTGGGAGGGCTTCCTTGGTTTTGTGGCATTACTGAAGGAGACCCTGCCTCGTTTTCTTTTCTTCTTTTAAAGATGTATTTAATTATACAAGAGGTCTTCCATCCGCTGATTCACTCCCCGGATGGCCTCAAGGGCCTGAGCTGAGCCGATCCGAAGCCAAGAGCCAGGAGCTTCTTCCGGGTCTCCCACGCAGGTGCAGCGGCCCAGGGACTTGGGCATCCTCCACTGCTTCCCCAGCCTGCCTCATTTTCTTAGATAACCAAAACTGTTAGTACCTCAAATAGATCCTGAAGACTTTTAAGGTCTAATATGCTGCTGTTGAAGTGAAACTCAATCAAATTTAAGGCAAAAACACTTTTCATAATGGGCCAGCGATTCCGAGTAAGGACGTTTCTGGCATCCAGCTGATTGCTCCATTACAGCTGGCGCTGTGACTGTGCTGCTGATGTGCCGAGAGCAGGCAGAGGTGAAGGGCTGGACACGTCCCTGCAGGAAGAGGGGAGCCGGGGGAGGAGCCCGAGGCCGCTGCGGCCTGGGAGCCCTCAGCTACGGGGCAGAGGTGGAGGGAGGGCCGTGGGCAGGGCGCAGCCAGTGCGGTGCTGCGTCTCCCTACGCAAAGCGTGAAAGGACCCAGGGGAAGGGAGCTGTTTACTAGGTCAGTGCTGGCTCGGGGGGAGCTGGCGCAGCCGGAGGGCGGGCAGTCTGGCCAGGTCAGTCTTGGTGAGTGTTGATGTACACGTGCTGTTTCACACTGCTGAGTCCCCAGACAGTTCACCTCACTGTTCTGTTCTTTTCAGGCTGTGTTTTTTGCAAATCTGCAGGATAACCCCAACTTGAAACCCTTGAGAGCTTTATCTTAAAAAAAAAAAAAAAAAGGAAGAAGAATAAAAAACCTTTCTCCTCTGCCCTCAGGAGAACCGTGCATTGTTGTGCGCTGCTTTGTGCACTTCTATCAGAGGCGTTGATTAACGTGGGCAGTGTTTGCTGCCTAGATCTTTCTTAGATAGAGGCAGGGAAGTAATTAACTAGTTGGACACTTGCCAGTTTACATGCCAGGCTCATTTAGAACATTCCGGCGAGTGTTGGTCTGCCAAATGTCGAGGGGCTGTTGAGGCAGGGAGGGGGAGCAGCAGCCGAGGCAGGGGCCAGGCGGCCAGCGCCGCTATTTGGGCTGATTTTCGAGACACCAAAGAAGTGGCTGCGGCGCGGACTGTGGTTGAGTCCTGGAGTGAAAATGTCTGTGACAGTCGAGAGTTTAGGCCGGAGGGAAGATCGGTTTAGTGTCAGCTGCAATTAGATAATCAAAGCTTGAGACTCCCTCTGTGGACGCCGCCACCTCTGCCCAAAGCAGGTGAATCAGACGCCGCCTGGACTGGAAGGCATCGCCGGTCCTGCCCGGCGCCCACGGGTGGCCCCGGCACAGGCTGGGCACAGAGGCAGCGGCTCCTCCTGCAGGTGCCCCCGCCCCTCGTGGGGCAGGAGCAGCGGGAGCTGCTTCTCGTGGGTCGGCTGTGAGACTCCTGGCCGCAGGCCAGCTGGGATAAGATGGCGTCTTGCAGCCAGCTGCCTGCCCAGGAGCGGCCAGCGGGCAGGGTCGGGGCCAGCCC